ATGTGTTGAAAAAAGTAAGTGGACTTTGTCTTTAAGAAATTCTGATGGGAAAATATGGATGAATAAAAACTGGCAGAACCCTTTCAGTCATCCTTTCACTTTTATCTCTCAATACGGGCATGCACATGATCACCAAGCGTTAAAAACATGTATGGTGATGGTGTTTTTGTGTATTTAGAGGGCAGACACGTGATCTGAAAGCAGTAGATACAGATGAGGAGGAGCTAAAATGGAAGAAATGTCTTCTAATTCTATCAACTGCAACAATTTCTCATTAGGAATCAAGTTATAGCTTCAGTTTAACAAATATCATTTAGCCTAACTGAAGTTTGTGCTGGCGTTGTCCTAATCAGGCGCTTGTATATAATTCACAACATCTTTTTCAGCCTCTTTGGTGCATTCTTTCTGTGTTTGGCTTCTAATTCCATTGTTGGTTCTTTTTTAAAACAGGAAAGGTTATCTTTACCTTGCTGACAGTTTTGTTTACGTCTGCAAACATCCTCAGTGCTGACGCTGATGGTGGCGTCACTTCCTGCTCTGTTTATCCGCGGGCAGCAGAGGACGTTGTCGCCCTCTGATGCCCGCTCTCCCCTCTCCGAAGATGCAGTCCAATGCACAATCCAATGTGTAAACCCCATCGTCTCTGTTAATAGACACAATAAAGAAGTCAGCCGTAACAGATCACTGCACAAGAGAAAACCATGTAATGGACTGGGACAACACAAGGATCATAAACAAGGAACAACAGAAATACAAAAGATGGATAAAGGAAGCCATAGAGAAAAGGTGACGTGGATACGGGACCATGAACAGAGACGATGGGGTTTACACATTGATCGTATCATCAGGACTGCATCATCGGAGAGGGGAGAGCGGGCATCAGAGGGCGACAACGTCCTCTGCTGCCCACAGATAGACGAGTAAGAAGTGACGCCACCATCAGCGTCAGCTCTGAGGATGTTTGCAGATGCAAACGAAACTGTCAGCAAGGTAAAGAGAAACCTTTCCTGTGTTTTAAAAAAGAACCTAAAAAGGGAATCTTCTTCAGCCGATATCCTCCAAACACTTGTTTTTTTATCTTACAAAGCAATTTTTTCTAAGTTATCATCTGTAGCATTCAGAAAGGTTTTAAAGCCATTGAAAAATTGCCACCAAGCCCTTCAGTTAGAAGTTCTGGCTAGGGTTTTCACTTTATATTATTATAAAGTGTGTTTTATTATCTAACAGATAGAAGCTTGGGAGTAGATACACGTATGGATTGAAGCTTTGAAATGTTGTTGGAAAGGGGTTCAAAGGCTGTCTCTGTAGCTCAAATGATGGATAAAACTTAACCTTAAGCACAGACATTTATAACTTTTGATAAAAGTGAAATTTTTGTTTCTTCTTTTTTTGTGACAGAAGATGGCAGAGACATTTTGCTTTGTTACAGAAATGGATAATATGATGAGAGTGGAGGTTGAGGAGCTGATTTCTCTATAAACTGATGTTCCTGCAAGCATCTTTTAAGAAGCTGTCTCAACTGTCTTCTTAGAGGCTGTTACCGAGCCACAGGGGGACTTTGCTGTCTTATATTTGACAGTGCATGTTACACTTGTTATCTTACCAATTCTGCATCAATCGTGGCTCTCTGCCTATTTTAGTGTTAAACTGAGCAGGCTCTTGCTTTGAAGGGTGTTGAGTTGGGTTTTAAAATGAGTCTCAATGAATTAAGAGGCAACGTACACTGACTGGCATCCTTGGATGTTTTTAGGTGAATTATATGGAAGAAATACAGTCTCGCTAGAATAGGACATTTTTTAGATGTTGAATTTGCGGCATCAATTTTTTATTCTGTGAATTTAGGTATTTGAATTTTGTTTTACTGAAAATGCACCAGTCAAATTTTATCAGAAAAATTTAACTGCAGAATTGCAACGTAAAATTTTCTCAGCAAAAATTTGACAACTGAGTTGACCTCCTGGGTACCCAAGCAAAAGTAATCGTAACTTGATTGAAACAAGTGGCTTTTAGCTAATTAAATTACGCTTCTCTGATCGCGTGACACCAGCGAGGTGTCGACTCGATCGAATGCTTTGGATTGGATCACCAGGCCAACTCGGTTGTTGTTGAATTTTTGCCGTAGAATTTTGTTATAGATTTTCTGCAGATGAAATTTAGCCGTTTAATATTTGTTGATAAAGTTTTTATGTTGAAATTCTGATGCAGAATTTTTGAAGATGAAATTCTGCAGTTGCATATTTATGGATGGAATTTTTGCTGGTGTACTTTAGGTTAAAAAAAATTAATTAATAAATAAAAAGAATTAAAATTATGTTTCATAAAATCAATGTCTATAAAAGAAGTTATATTCTGATGACACTGTATTTCTTCCATACCTCACCTCCGTTGTTAAATGTTTTGCTGATGACATTTTTACATTGAAATTCTGCTGTAGAATTTTTGAAGATGAAATTATGCAGTTGCATTTTATGGACAAAATTTTTGCAGGTGTATTTTCAGTTTTAAAAAAATTCTAACTTATCTTGTCACAGAATAAAAAGTGTATGCCATGAATTCAACGTCTAAAAAAAGTCATATGCTGGTGAGACGTCCATAAATTTCCACTGCAAGGAAGATTTATAGCATAGTTTTACATTTTGTTGCTGCAGAATTCACAGGTTAATGGTATAAAACTCAGATGAGATCATTAAAACTCTTAAATCCCCATAACTGAAGCTGGTTTTAACTCAACTTTATTTTTAAATTGCACCTTACAGGCAAAAAGATGCCACCAAGGCGCTACACAGATCAAGTAAAAACATAAAACATTAAATCCAGAAGATAAAAACATTGTATCACAAGATACAGATAAAAATACAGTGAGTGCACAAATCGCTATAAGTAAAACAATAAAAACTAGTTGGAAAGTTTAAAAGACCGATCATAAAAGTAGGTTTTTAGCCTTGCCTTAAAAACCGCAACAAAGGTGGAGGCCCTTATGCGGAGAGGAAGCTCGTTCCAAAGCTTAGGACCTGCCACAGCAAAGGCCCTATCACCACGTGTCTTTAGGTGCGATCTTGTGACCGAGAGGAGCATGAGGTTCTACGAGCGGAGTGACCGTGCAGGGGTGTATGGTTGAAGCGGTGACACCAAGTAAGGAGGGGCCAAACCATTGAACGTTTGAAAAACCAGCAAAAGTATTTTAAAATGAATCCTTACATCAACGGGCAGCCAATGAAGCGCAGCCAGGACAGGAGTAATGTGGTCAAACTTGCGCCTGCCCTCTAAAAATCTAGCAGCAGCATTCTGCACCATTTGCAACCTGGCCCTTGAGCCCTTGCTCACACCGAATAAAACAGAGTTGCAGTAGTCCAATCGCACCGTAATAATAGCATGGACTACCGTCTCAAGATCATGACGTGACAAAACTGGTTTGATCTTTGCCAACTGATGAAGGTGGAAAAAGGAGGTGGAGATCACTCCATTGATGTGGGTATCAAAACTAAGGGCGCTATCCAGTTTAATGGGCTCGACACACGGGAGGCGATAAACGACCGCGATCAGCGAAATTTGTCGCCGTCGCTTTTATTACCTGACACACGGGAGGCGATCCGCGGCAGCGGCCAGCGGCAAAGCCGTCTACGCGTTCTATTCCATGGCGAAATCGAAACTTCCGTTGTTTTGTTTGGCTGTGTCAGGTTGGAGGGAATTAAGGTTATTTAAGCGGTTCAGAGTTAAAAAGTGGTAGATGTGATGTTTCACAAGGTGCTGCTAGAGTTATGTGAAATCTTACTTCTGATTTTACTTTATAAAACATAATAATAATCAACTTCTCCTTCATGTTTGCTCGGAGATGTACGGAGCATCCTGTCCGCTCATTGGTCAGTGAACGAAACCTCCGTTGATTGGTCCTTGTCTGAGCGACAGCGATGAAAAGTTGAAAATGTTTCAACTTTCTAGGATGGTGTCGCTGGGTCGCCTGTGCACGACACGTGCACGAGCGCAAAATTTCACATGCACGTTTTTCGCGTTTCGCTTGGTAGGAGGGAGACCCGCGATTATCGCTTTGTCGCGCATGTCTCATTGAAAATGAATGGAGGAGAGGCGATGTCGCCTCCCATGTGTCGAGCCGATAACACCAAGATTAGTCACCAATGTAATCAGCCGGCCATTAAATGACCCACAGTCAGTTAGGGAAGAGTCACAATGTCTGCTTGGAGCAAACAATATAGCCTCTGGTTTGTGATCATTTAGGCTTAGAAATTTTTCACTCATCCAGGTCTTGATCTTCCTCAAACAGTTAGTAAGAACAGAAATAGAGAGACCACTTGACGTGTTCAGAGGCATTGAAATGATCCACATTCTCTATAATTTAAAAGATTTCATAGATTGTTTTGCAGATCCAGCTGAAGAAAATCCTCCTTAGAACATTGCAAGAAAACAAGTTTTCCTTTCTTCTTCCTCTTCTATCTCTCGCTGTGCCGCAAGATGTAGTGCTAACTGATGGTCTGACACACACACCACCATCTAAAGCAATACTTTACTTTGATGTTTATATAGAAGTGTTTTGCAAGTTTCGAGCAGCAGTCAGCGCCATCTGAAAAATGAAAGAATACTTTTCTTTGAATTTTAAGAACAGCGTCCATGTCCAGTTATCTGCTCCACCAATGTAGTATTCAGGTGAAATGAAAGGATATCTTAATGGAGAGACAAGAGCCTAAGACATCCTGCTATTCCGATGGAGCAGACATGCAAGCATACACACACACACACACACGCACACACCCTAAATCCATTATGGCTTCAGACTTCAAAGATGTATTTTTTTTTCTTTTTAGTCTTCCCTGAAAATAAAGAGGGCTGCAGAATTTTTGCAGAAAAAAACATAATTCAGAAAATTGTGTGTAATGTGCACTGCTTCATTTATGTCTATTCCAGTTTGTGTTCAAATGTGTGCATGTGTACGTCATCCACGAAACCGGTCCTCATAACCCTGCATGTTTCTCTCTTTTGTGTTTCAGGTGGAATTTTTGAACAAACAGATGGACCTGTTTCTCTTGTTAGTGCCGAGGAGCTTGCTTTTAAATTTGCTGTGAATAATATTAACAGAAACAGGACTTTGTTGCCTAACACAACATTAACATATGACATACAGAGGATTAATATCTATGACAGCTTTGAGGCATCAAGAAAAGGTGAGAAACTTTCTTTCTGTCATTTCTTTAATGTGTCTGTCTGGAAGTTTGATTCCTTTGGGCGAATTGTGAAATTTAAACTGCGATTTAAAACTTTTGCAGTGAAATACTGACAAAAAATACAGCAGAGTTTTTCATTTGTGGCTAAGTCTTGTTTCCGTCAGGAGTTTAATGAAAAATTGTCTCAATTTGTTGACAAACGTGTGACATTTTTGGCTCTTTCGCACCCACAAAAACTAAATCCAGAAGGATTCCATACCGGAAGTCTTATGAGTGTTTTGAGAAAACATTTGACATGCAATTTTCTAGAGCATATTAAAAATTCAAAAAAAGTCCATGCTAGCTTAGAAATCTAGACTAAAAAATGTTGCCCAGTGACGGTGGCTTGCAGGCATGTGCACGTCTGTTCTTTAACCTCTCCAACCTTTTGTTGAGAACAGTAGTAGTAGTTGGATGAATGCATACTCACAATACAGGATGATACGGCAATAATATAGTTAATGAACGAAAAAAAAAAGATGAATCCAAATATAGCAGTTCAGAGTTCCAGTTGGATATGCCAATCCATTTATTGTCACAGATACTTGAAATGAGAAATAAAAGTGTAGGTTATTGATACAAACACGAAACATGAGCACAGTGAGAGCCACTCCCAGAGAGGCCTCTGTAGGAAATGGCTCAGATGGAGGTACTTATGTTGTTTATTTCAAAATAGGATGTATTTGCTTCTTCTTCGACAATGCTGTATGGTAGAATGTCCTGTTAACTGATGAATATGTATTTCTCTGAATGGTCTTAGCGCTGTCTAATTGCATGCAGACAGTTTGAAAACAATCGTAGATTACACCTCACAACTGTGTTGTTTCAATGGTTCATGAAAAGACTAGATATCTACATATATATACTGTATTTGGCAACCGGCTCAGTGGCCTAGTGGTAGTGTGCCCGCCCTGGGACTGGGAGATCGGGGCTCAAATCCCACTCGGGTCATGTCAAAGACTTTGACAAAAATGGGACCCAATGCCTCCTCGCTTGGCGCTTAGCATTTCTTGAAATTTTAAAAGTTGAATGCTTTTTTTTTAGTTTAATTTATTTCAAACAAAGAAAACATACATAATTTTTTTTAAAATACCACAAACAGAAAAAATACATATCATCATCCCTTTTTTTCTTCTTCTCTGTCGGAAAAAGAGTAGGCTGAAGTTGAAACTTATATGTCCCTACCCCTTTATACAAGTAATTTTTACTTGTTTACTAAATGTAACACAAAACCTACATTAAAACAAACAAAATGGTACAAGTCACCAAACACAGTTTGTTTTTGTTATCTATTGTCACGACCCAATGAGATACTAGCATGTCATGCAACATTCTCACTCCCAGTGCGCCAAAAACAAACGCTTGGTCAGCCACCCTCCACGTCAGACCCCTGACGCCAAAAGTGCCCTTTGTCGTCACTTATGTGCGAAAAGGGGTTTTTCCCTTTTCTGACTGCAGATCCCAATGCAGCGTAAAACTGACGCAATGAGATGTCCACAGCCAGGGCACCAAACAAGCTCATTGTACCTCACCCTAACCTTATCCTCCTGTTATTTAACCTTCCCCTCACCCTCATCCTAACCTTAACCCTCTTGCTACCTAAAATATTACTCTCACTGTGATCAAGCGTTTGTTTCCCATGCATTCTGACTGTGAATTTTTGTATTTGCCGCCCAAGGGGAATGTTAGAACATACCATCTGGCGAGGGGGAATTTACAAATACCCTCTGCTTTTAACCTCCACCGTGGTAGTTGAAACCTCCCCCTCGCGCTGCCTCGGTCCAAACCCGACCAATGACGAGGCGGCTCCCGCCGTTCACTTCATAGAGCCGGCTTTTAGAGCGACCGACACATCACTACCGTGTTGGCTAGCAAGATGGTTAAGGTTAGGATAGGGGTGAGGGGAAGGGTATATAACAAGAGGATAAGGTTAGGGTGAGGTACAATGAGCTTGTTTGGTGCCCTGGCTGCGGACATCCCATCACGTCAGTTTTACGCTGCATTGGGATCTGCAGGTAGAAAAGGGGAAAACCCCTTTTCGCACATAAGTGACGAAAAAGGGCACTTTTGGCATCAGGGTCTGACGCGGAGGGTGGCTGACCAAGCGTTCGTTTTTGACGCGCTGGAAGTGAGAATGTGTTGTTTTCTTTCTGTTAGCACAGTTCATGCTTATGTTCTTTTCAAGAACCTGTCTCTTCTTCTCTGTTTAGCTTGTGACCAGCTATCTTTAGGAGTAGTTGCCATTTTTGGGCCTTCACATAGCTCCTCGTCAAACGCTGTGCAGTCCATCTGCAATGCACTGGAAGTTCCGCACATCCAGGTTCGATGGAAACATCACCCCATGGACAACAGGGACACGTTTTACGCCAATTTATACCCGGATTACTCATCGTTAAGCTATGCTATTCTGGACCTGGTTCAGTTTCTCAAGTGGAAAACAGCCACCGTTGTATATGATGACAGCACAGGTGACCTTACACTGTTATGTTACGGCTCACTTTCAAACCTATTACTCAAAAGATCCAGGAGCTACAAAATAAAGAAAATTCTTGTCTTTGTCGTTTTATTTCCTTCAAGGTCTAATAAGGCTGCAGGAGCTGATAATGGCACCATCAAGATACAACATTCGATTAAAGATCCGCCAGCTTCCGCTCGACACGGAAGATACGAGGCCTCTTCTCAAAGAAATGAAGAGAAGTCGGGAATTTCGGATCATCTTTGACTGCAGTCACCACATGGCTGCCCAGATTCTAAAACAGGTGAACTCTTATGTACCCTAATAATGTCAGAATAGACGATTGCTGTAATTTATAATGTTATATTATTTTATTCCATGATGTAAAAGTCAGATTCACAGCAACAAAACTTCATCTCCAAAAAAGGTCAGATCTTGATGAACTTGCAAAAACCATTTAGAGTGGGCATTTAAATGTTAACAATATCTTATGTTCAGTGTCTTTAAAGGTGTGCAAATACTAAACAATTATTTATCCACCCTATGCATGTACGCAGAATTTTTAACGCCATAAGTCTGTTATTGAACCTGAATATAAATGTGCCTTGGTATAAATGATTGCCTGCAACAGAAACCTGTCAGTAAGATGTACCAAGTGGCAAATGTGTAGGTGGTCTGATGTTCTACAGATGTCAAGAACAGCCTGGTGAATCCCCCTCATTCATTCAGCTTCCTGTCAGCTTCTATTAACATGTTTACCCAACGCATCACCTCATAAAAGTTGTTTAAATAACTCCCTTCTCCCTGGGTTTGGAGATCTAAGAGGACATATCTTTGCTCCTGGCCAGACAGCACTTTTATTGCTGGAAAAATGTCTTCCTGAGAGGAGACAACAGGCGTTAACATTTCATTTCAATACTAACATTTATAGCTTTATGATGTACCTTGGCCAATGGTAGTCGCAGTGTTTGGTGGCAACAGTATTAGGAGCTGTAATTCTAATTCAATGAATTTATTAGTTATGGGTTCACTGTGCAATTTACTAAAAAAGTTTGTCAGTTTATTCAGAGTAAAGGATAGGAGGGTAGAATGTGAGTTTCAGGTAGGGAGTTTTTTTTTTGGTTAGTACCACTTATTTAACGTTTTTTAAACCTAATTTATTATAACTAATATGTTCACATATCCAAAAGAAATCCCAGTAGTGTCCCAGGGAGACCCCTTCCAGCTTTTAAGCCTAAAGTCATGTTTCCACCAAGTTCCTTTCAGCCATTGTGTTTCCATACAAGGTCAGCCCTTTCAGGATTTTGTCAAGACGTCAACATATTACGACCATTTCATTGAGTGACGTCACTGACCAACGCCCAAGGCGTCCACGGACATTGATAAAAGTACAATGTATTTTAATCCATTCAGGGGACAGGGAGAGCAGTTTTGGGATGTTATAAGCAGCACAAAATGACCAAAAGAAGCATTTTTTGGGGGGTTTATTTTTGTTTTTCAACCACAAAGCGGCCAAAATTACAGCACATTTTTTGGTGTTGGGAGTTTAGCTGCTTATTTTATTTTCCTCTCATTCTGCTTCACCAGCAGATCTTCCAAATTCAGAAATGCCGGGTGTTTGGCGACCTCTGCTGATGTCATTTCTTACTGATTTCCAACCAATCAACATGAGTTAACCACAAGTCCCACCCAGCGACTCTTCCATGGCTTTTCTGAGTACATACCCCTGTTCAGATACTCATTTGTTTCCTGAAATGGCCTAGAATATGGTCCTAAAATGAAGGCACGAACATGCTGTGAAGGCCCGGTGAAATTACATGGATGGTCGATAGTAGAAACAGGCAAGGTGCATTATGTAGAAAAGTAGTAAAAATAACATCCTTTGGTAAAATTAGGTTACTGCAACCACTTTAAACAACTCTGGTGCTTTTTGCTGGCTGTCGTCAAATTACAATTGTCAGATCTGCAGTATTAGCTCACAGAAGACACGGAAACCCCACACTCACTGATGGTAAACAGTTGTTAACGTCCTTCCTTCCTTTGTTTTGAAAAGAAAAAAACTGGCAATCCCAGCAGCCAGCTGGATATGAAATATGTTTCAGTATAACCTTAACCCTTTTGAGATTTTCTCGTAAAATTCTCACTTTATTCTTACATTCTGCTCTTTTAAAGTGACAGTGTGTATTTTCCCTGGAGATAGGGGGCAGTAGATACCTAAATTGTTGCAAGCAAGCTGTATTTTTGTGTAGGAGTAAGACCTAACCAACAGATCCCCATTAGGGTCCAAAAGCCCTGGGGAGTGCAGACAAAATGACAAACACATCAGACTCTGTTTCATCAGTGGCAATGAGTGATGAAGTAAATGTGTAAAATGACAATGTTTATGAATGGTGACAGTTTTGTTACCGTTTGTTAGAAATCAGTCATTTTTGTCCTCAAGGGCTCCCGTAGAAGGAAACATGGCATCTAATATGGCGTCGCCATATTACTCAGACCCGCTCCCGAGTATTTTAGATCTGATTTTTATGGTTATATGTTAAGAAGCCGCCAATATTTTTCAACAAATGATTCATCTCTGTTTATGTAGAACTTCAGATGTCTTGTTATATTTTATTGCAACATGTGTTATCTACAAGAGTGGTGCTGTGATTAAATAAGAAAAACAAGGTTTTAACATCACTCAGTTGATTTACTTGTACTTTTGCAGTAATGTTGAACAAATCTAAAGTTGGAGTTTTCTGGTTCCCCACAACTCAACATGCATCTGTCAAACTACGTTATTTTTCAGATTAGGGGAATGAAAATAGCAGCCTTCCTGTAGCTTATTTTAAAACAATAACTTTGCCCTTCTCTGTCTCATGTTTCATGATTAATTTACAAAAATGACCCTGCTGTTGATAGGAGTAGAGGTGTATAAAAATTTAACAAAATGTGGATAAAAAAGTTCAGACCAGGTTCTAACTTGATTGTTCAGCAGTGGGAAAATAGCATCATAAAAGCTGTGTGCACTTCTAACCAACAAATAAAGTTTTGGCGACAATGATTTGGCTTAATGTCTTTAGAGGTGAATTTATCTCTACATGAGATTAACATCTTGTTTACATAACCTTGAGCCCCCCCCCCCCCCCTTTTTTTTTTTTGCAGCAGATGGTGCAATTAAACAAAAAACACAGCTGCCATGGGGATGTGTGCTTTTGAATGCTGATAAGAGTGAAACAAGTGGCAGTGATGGAGTGTTCGGATATGACGCAAATATTACTGAGCTCTTTGGATGGAAGATTCTCTTCTCACCCGGGATAGCATCACATGCCCCGAGCCAATTTTAAACCGTTTAAATGCACAGAAAAGCTAAAGATCTGTTGCTTTTCTGTAATTATTTAGACCACGTATAGTTCAGAAAACCCAAAGAGCAATACCAGAATCTTGCTTGTAAAATTAGCAGCATGTGAGTCAACAGGTTCAGAACATGGATACTTTCCTCTTTGCTGTAATGTCTTTTATGCCACTCTTTAGCTTGTTTGATGCTAAGCTGCCCTGAAATGACAAAAATGACGATTTTCTCCATTTTGTCTCACTTCACGTCTACCTTTTACTCCCATCCTCCATCGTTGTGCACTTCCAGGCCCAGACCATGGGGATGATGACAGAGTATTACCACTATATCTTCACCACTCTGGTAATGTACTGCACTTGTTAATGCAAATAGTCTCGTTTGTTCTCATCTCCTCACTGCTTCAGTTTTTGATGAATAGTGGCTAATTGCCAATGGAGTTTGGATCCAGTCCATAGCATCAATTTTGTTTGACAAGTCAGATGCATAATGGAGTCTTGGGTTTGCTGTAGTAAATTACAGCTTTATGGTTAAGTCAACAGAAGTCTTTGAGCTAGCAAAATACAAAACAACAGATTTAGATTCAAAAGAAACAAAAAGCCCGCCCTAGAAAGGCTCAAATGATTATTTTTGCAAAAGCAACAACTAAAAAGAAATAAGTACAATCAAAATAAAACTCTTCAGATTAATGAAATGTAAGAAAAATACTACCAACCCACCAGCGACATTAAATATGCATGATCCTAATCTAATATCCCACAGTTCATTGACAAGTCTTTTAACACTACCAACGCCTACTTTTAAATAATTGATCTGAAACTCTCCTAATGGTTTGATTAAATGAACATGAGCTAGATGTATTTCTTTTCCAACTACAGCTGCAATAGTTTAACTGCAAACACACATATTTATAATACAAAAAAAAGTTTTGAATACGATAGTGTTAAAATTTTACCCAAAGACCAAACCAAATGAATGTAGCTGACCTTTCTTGCTTGGCCAGATAGGTTGTTTTATTGTTGTTTATGTATTTCAGTCTTTCATTAAAATACCAGATGCAAGTATATTAACAGCAAAAATATAGCTCTTTATGAACGTATGTTTTATTTATAGTAAGACATAAAAAATCATTGTCTATAGGTTTAAAAAAATACAGAATTAGGACGATAAATTGATGGCAACTACATGTAAAAGCAAAAAAAGCTGTCCACTAGATGGGGCTGTCACGTGTAATACATTGCCTCACATTGTCATGTGACTCGGGGTGGTACAGCTTCTTAAACGGATATGAATGTTGCCAACCTACGCACATTTTCTTTTTTTTTTTAACTACTGAAATTATTGACATGAGAAAAATGAAAAAAAAAAACTAGTTGAATCAGATTGAGGAGGAGCAATGTGGTTTTCGTCCTGGCCGTGGAACTGTGGACCAGCTCTATACCCTTGCAAGGATGATGGAGGGGGCATGGGAGTTTGCCCTACCAATCCATATGTGTTTATGGCTTATGACCGTGTCCCCAGGGGCACCCTGTGGGGGATGCTCCAGGAGTATGGAGTGGGTAGCTATCTGTTAAGGGCCATTCATTCCCTTTACCAGAGGAACGTGAGTTTGGTCCGCATAGCCGGTAGTAAGTCGGACCTGTTCCCGGTGAGGGTTGGACTCCGCCAGGGCTGCCCTTTGTCACCGGTTCTGTTCATTACCTTTATGGACAGAATTTCTAGGCGCAGCCGTGGTGTGGAGTGTGTCGAGTTTGGTGGCAGGAGAATCTCGTCTCTGCTTTTTGCGGATGATGTGGTCCTCCTAGCTTCATCCAGCTCTGACCTTCAGCTCTTGCTGGGTAGGTTCGCGGCCGAGTGTGAAGCGGCTGGGATGAAGATCAGCACCTCCAAATCTGAGACCATGGTCCTCGACCGGAAAAGGGTGGCTTGCCAAGTCCGGGTCGGGAGAGAGGTCCTACCTCAAGTGGAGGAGTTTAAGTATCTCGGGGTTGTTCACGAGTGAGGGTAGGAGAGATCGGGAGATCGACAGGCGGATCACGAGTGAGGGTAGGAGGGATCGGGAGATCGACAGGCGGATCACGAGTGAGGGTAGGAGGGATCGGGAGATCGACAGGCGGATTAGTTCAGCTTCTGCAGTGATGCGGATGCTGAGCCGATCTGTCGTGGTGAAGAAGGAGCTGAGCCAGAAAGCCAGGCTTTCGATTTACCGGTCGATCTACGTCCCAACCCTCACCTATGGTCATGAGCTTTGGGTAATGACCGAAAGAACAATATCGCGGATACAAGCAGCCGAAATGAGTTTCCTCCGTGGGGTGGCCAGGCTCAGCCTTAGAGATAAGGAAAGATAAGATTAAAAAAAAAAGAGACAGGGTGAGGAGCTCGGACATTCGGGAGGGACTCGGAGTAGAACCGCTGCTCCTCCAGATCGAAAGGAGTCAGTTGAGGTGGTTTGGGCATCTGGTCAGGATGCCTCCTGGACGCCTCCCTGGGGAGGTGTTTCGGGCACGTCCTGCCCGCAGGAGGCCCCCGGGTCGACCCAGGACACGTTGGATAGGTTACATCTCCAATCTGGTCTGGGAACGCCTTGGGGTCCTGCCGGAGGAGCTGGTGAAGGTGGCCGGGGAGAGGACGGTCTGGAGCTCCCTAGTTGGGATGCTGCCCCCGCGACCTGGACCCGGATAAGCGGAGGGAAGACGAGACAACACCAGAGAAAACTGATCAGTTAGAGTCGTACATTTCAATAATGATATATTTTTTCGATTTTGTCGCCCAGCCCTGCCCAGAATAAATCATCACCATCCCACCATTTTTCACGATGTTGAAAAAGTTCATAAAGCTATAGTAGATTAATGAGAAATATACACCACATCAGATATTTTGAAGGAATCTTTAATGTTAGAACATTACATAACACTAATTATTTATATAATTGAAACAGAAAAAGCAATGTGTTACTTTATTCCTCAAAGTTTCTTTTCCAATGTTGTCCAATTTAGCCACTTTCCCAGAAGTTTTAGATTTTTCCTTGCTGCCACACACCTGATTCAATGGCTGAATGACTTTCTCTGTATGCTCCGAGTTCAATGGCACTACCCATTGATTCAAATGGGGTAACTTTTTAAACTTTTTAAGTTTGGCCAATAGTCTTCACCTACATAAGGTTCTACCTTATTTAAGTAAAAATAAGTATCAACACTGGATCAAAACTGCCTTGTGAAAAAGTAGGTGGGGCACGTCCCCCCGTCCCCCCTCCAAATTACGCCCATGGTTGGAGAAGAGAAACGTCTCTATATGAATGACTCTCTGACATTACTGCTTGTGCTGTGTAAACACATACAAATGTATGCATGCAAACACACTAAACTGTAGTTTTGAGAAAGATTAGTTTCCATAGCATATATTTTATAATCAAAGCATAAAACTGCCCGTGCAGAGTAGGAATGCTAAATCAATATTGTTTAGGTGTCACAAAAAATGCTTGTATATAAAAAAAAATTAAACAGATTTTTATTTAAATAATCAAATGTATTCAAGGTGTTTGGGGTGACTGGTTATGTAAGAGTCACTTTCTTGAGTATTTTGAGCGATCTAGCAGGGAGCCACTTTCGCTGCCGTAACCGTGACAGGCAGACTGAGGGAGAATAAGTACCAGCATGCTCTGTGCTGTTCCTTTCACCCTCCGTTACTGTTTCTGCCTCTCTCACGCTCTCACACTCACCGTCTCTGCAGATTTAACCAGTCTGTTGTGATAATATGTTATGACACAGAGGTACAGACATGATGCGTGTCATTTTTCACACTTGACATTGCAGACATTGTTCTGGTGTGTCATTTTTGTGTTGCACAAATTCTCCTTTAATATAGAAATCTACATTACTTATAGAGCTGCAGCACCAGCTTACCTGCGTCCAAACAGGGTTTTCAGCAAAACATGACAATTTCCTTAAAAAACTTTTCTTTCTTTTATTTATTTATGCTTTTAAATATAAATTCGCAACAACAGCTCTCACGTGAAGCCAGAATATCTTCATGGTATCTGTGTTGTAGCTATCTAAAGCTGCAATATGCTGTCTTATTGATAGACACACCATTAAGAAGATTATACCTGGCGGTTAGATTTGATCCGGAGTAATGAATGCTTGCATGGTGTACATGGCAATACAATTTCCTCTCGATGGAATTCACCGATGTCTGTGTTTTATCTTGTGGGGTGAGGGAAGTGCCGATTTATTAGAGCGTGAAAAGGCAACAGCGCAGTGGTATGGGGGTAATAACGTCCTTGTCCTTTGAAATGAGTCTGTCATAGCTCCTGTCTTGCCGTAGCCATCTTTCAGAACCTTAAGCTGAGAATTTAGTTACGTTCGTTCTCCCGGTGAACATTTGAGCATAATGAAATTGTAGGACCTTATTGAGTTTGTGCGAATCAGCTCACATCTTTCTTTTTTGTTACAATAATTGCAAAGTTTGTACTCAAATTATTTCTGACTTTATTCATTTAAGAAATTTTAACAACAAAATAATCCTATATGATGAGCAGCAACATTGCAAGTGTGATTTTTGATTTTTCTGAGAACAACAGTGACAGTTTTTTTTATTTTTTTTTTTTTGTGAAAGTCTTGCATGCTCTTGTTCCTGCAGCACTAACCCCACAGGGTGCTAATGAAATATCCATGTTCATCCAAATGTGTCCTCTGAGCCCCCGGGTCCAATTTTACACAACATGTGTCAACATGTGACTTCACACTTCAGCTACAATCGCTGCCCCAGAAATTACAGCGGCTCAAATTGAATTGCTTTTTTCTTCGGACGATGCCAAGGCAATGCAAGTGTTGAATTATTAATATCATCCCGCAAAAAGAGTTTGTTTTTCTCTCTTTTTTAAAATTTTCTTAGCCACAGGCAATAATTATAATCTGACACTCTCCCAAAAATGCATCAACACATTTTTTTTCTACTTTTTATCCATAAATATGACAGAGACAGGCAGAGTAGATTGCAAGCTTGTTGACTGGGTGGTATATTTTAATATTATATTAGTTCAAAACAATAATTACTTAAAAATCATGGGAAAAAAACTTGAGAAATCCAGTACATTTATGTTCTACACAGTTTTTATAGTGTGATTTATGTATTTATTCAGTCGCTGTTTCCGTTTTTATTTTCAGACGAGGAGAAAGTATCTAGGATATTCACTGTGAACAAAGGGGCTCAGTGCTTCCTGACTAAAAATAATCCATTGTTCTTTTTTCAAATAGGACCTGATGGCTATTGACCTTGAGCCATATCGCTTTTGTGGTGTAAACATGACGGGCTTCCGCATCCTCAATGTGGATAATCCTCAGGTTGCATCCATAGTGGAGAAGTGGTCTATGGAAAGGCAGATACCCCCCAAACCAGATTCAGGCCTGCTGGAGGGCATCATGACGGTAATTTTTTAAATGTACATTTTTGTTTGGCACTTTCAAAATAAAAAAATAATTGGAAAAAATATATATTGCATCAATTTGTTTAATCTAGAGTAGAATAAATTTGTTTAAATGAAACAGTAACTGTATTTTCAGTTAAACAGCATTATAAATGAGATTGAGTCATATTAGAGTTCTGAATAAACTGCCTTTGATTCTGCATTTAATCCACTTTAGTGACCTGCATATACAACACTCAGGGTTTATAAGAGCTTTTTTTAAATTTAAGAGTCCAGAAAGCACAAAACTACGGAAGCATGTAAACGTCAAAGCAGGCAAAAAATAGAGGAGCAGCATCTCACAATAACGAGAGTTTCTCATCATAACAAGACGTAAATCCTGTTTTAATGGAAAACTGTTATCATAATAACGACAGATAAAAGTAAAAGTAATTAGTCAGAGCAACATATTCCTCCACACTTTGGTCAAGCCGTCATCAACTTTGAAAACAACAGAGAAAACAGGCCTCACTTGGATTTCTTCTCCGCACATATTTGCGGTACTTCCGTTTTCTGGTTGAAGTGCAGATTTTAAAGTAAAAGTTGACTTCCTGTTTGTGTTTTTTCAAATAAAAATCTTTGAAAAATTTTTTACAATGATATAACAATAAAGTAGGGCTGCACGATATTAGGAAAACCTGTAATATACGATAACGGTGATTAATATTGCGATGACTATAATACTTGTGATAAATAAAAACTTAACTCAGGATCAAAAATAATCAAAAACAAAGAAAAAAAGACAAAACATTTCATAAAAATGAGAAAAGCAAACTATGATAGGAAAGGATAAAAGAAAATGAACAAGAAAAGGCCATCAGTGGATCCCGAGAAAAGCAGACTCAGCAGAAAGCTAACTCTAGTGTTTGCTAACCATCAAAAATTAAGTGCCGTCTGCCTCATGGGCGGGCATCTAACCTATGAAAACCCACCCAGTTGGCCAAATGGATGAAGAGCGCTATGTAGTTAAAAATACATCATGCTTCTGTTTGACAGAATGCATTATGTGTAGCAAACTTTTGAGCTAACCATTCATTGCGATATTTATCTGTTCTTTGCGATTTGCATATTGTGCATGCTGGTGTCGCGATAATGATATATTTGCGACATATTGTGCAGCCATACAATAAAAATAAAAGTTATGTACAAAAATTACATTAGCCATGTTCCCTTTGTGTTCCCTTAAACACAATCTCTCGGTATAAAGAGATGTCTGTCTATTGCCTTGGCAACAAGGAGGTACATGACGGAGTCGACGTAGAAGAGAGCTAACAAGTGTAATTTGTTGATTTATTAATCATTTTTTGGTGGTTTTACCCTCATTGTTGTGGTGCTGCTTCTGCTGTACCTCCTGAAAGTTAGGCATCAAGAACTGGAATAACGTTCATTCATAGTAGAATGCAAACATATAGCCGCAATTGTACCATTACGACCTTTCTCATTTTTACGAGATATTAAAACATTATTTCGAGAAACTTTCTTGTTAAAACAACTTTTATATGTTGTTATAAGAATGTGTTTTTGCAAAATGAGAGTTATATTGCGTTATAACGAGATCTTTCTCTTTACTACGAGATATTGATCCATTATATTTTGTCTTGCAGTGATGGCAATAAGCTTCCGTACCAAACAGTAAAAACTGTGTGGGTGGAGCTGCATAATATATGTGTGTTTCTAAATGAGATATTTTACAGAAGACACGCTGTCATGATACTGCTGGAAAACTGACCATGCAGCCTAAAAATATCCATAAATATGAAAAGAACATAATCTCAAGTGTTTCTGCTTCTGTACTGACATGCTCAAAGCAAGGTAACAATGCGAATAACTATCTGTGTGTCTGTTCTCAACAAGTGTTCTGTGAAAGCGTCAGATTTTGTACATTTCATATAGCTACTTTGGTGTTTTCATATATATCACAAAGTCCAAAATTTTTACACCCCCCCCCCCCCCCCCCGAAAAACTAGAATTTTATTTTTTTTCATTATCATTTTTTCTATTCTGTGGTATAAATGAAAAACAATATGGTTTTGCTCAATTCACACATCATTTATGATTTTAAATTTGTTGTTAGTGTCTTTAAAAAATCACTAAAGTTACAAGTTGTATTGATGGCAGCAGATAAATAACAATTCAACCAATTACAGTGGGATGAGATCTTCCCACAGAACATGGCAGACAAAAAGTCCAAAACACATTTGTTAAAAACTACATTCTGTACTACATCACCAAGCTTTTACATGTTTCTGCAAATGTAACAGACTAGAATTTGACATGACTCATTCAGCATCTTATGTCAGTGAAACGTTTGCATCATGAGATCCAAACTGTTTACTTTTTCAGCCATCAGCTGAAATAATGTTCACCCCTTATTCCAGACAGATGCAGCTCTGACCTATGATGCAGTCCACATTGTATCCGTCTCATACCAACACGCTCCACAGATGACTGTGAACTCGCTCCAGTGTCATCGCCACAAACCCTGGAGATTTGGAGGGCGCTTCATGAGTTTCATCAAAGAGGTGAAGATGTACCTTTGGCCTGTTGTTGTTTGATCATACCGACTGAGTCTCTTATTTCAAATGTTGACATAGAAAGTCAGCTGTATCCACAAACTGAAGAAATCTAGACATGACTCATGCTGTAAAGCACTTATTTTTGTAAGCTTTTCAAATCTGTAACATGAGCTAATCCTCTTTTTTTTCTCCTAATCTAATAAATCAGGAGACTTTGCAATAGCTTGTTGCAAAATGGGAATTTTAATTGGAATTTCCTTCCTTTCGGGAATTATGAATAATTTCTTAGAATTCTGTAAAAGTGACCCGTATGTGATGCAACGTAGGCAGTAAGTCTATTTATTTAGCTAAACCTGGCCCCTTTGTCGTAGAGCCCAGTGCAATTTCAATTGAGCACAGCTCCGCTTTAGCCAATAGAAACATCCACTTACATAGAGGTGTCAATCACAGAGCATACGCAAGCGTTTGAGAATGTCGTTTCCAGCCGTAATCACCGAAGTAGGGAGAGGCTTGAGGTGCAATACAGTTTTCCTCCTCTAGATGGTGTCCTCTGAGAAAAAGATCTCCAGATCTCAACTTTAACGGCGTGGCTCACTGGAAAATCATTTTTATTGATTATTTATGATTATAAACAGTTATTTATCATAAGAATAGTCTCCTACACCTATCTCCTGCGTTAGCTTCTAGTAGAACATAGATGGTGAAACGCTTGGATTTGAAAATTCTGACAGCATGACATCAGAACAAAGCAATAAAAAAAACAAGTACAATGCTTTACTAAAAATAAACGTCTTTAGTCATTTTTCAAAGCCGTGTTTTGGTTGTGGTGTCCACAGTGTTAGAAATCTGCAGATGAAACCCCCACTATGGAATCACAGGATTGTATAAAGAATTTAAATGTCTACAACAATGTCTGAGGTATAGTTAGTCAGAAATTAGTCTGAACAAATTACAACCCATTTGCCTTCAATAGAAATATTAGAAAAGTCTAGTGACTATTGCTAAAGACAAGGAAATACTGCGAAAACATTTTGTAATGTTTGGTTATTAACTCGGTCTTGATTCACTGATTTACACTTCCTTCAAGAGAGGCGCCTGACATGTTCTGAAGGTTGAATTGGCCCTCTGGATGTGATATAGCTGAGGCGTACGATACGTCATTCTCTGAATTAAAGTTGTTTGAGCATGCCTCCCACCTTCATGGCAATAGGCCAGACAGAATGAGGTACGGAAGGCTTTTGAAAAATAGAGTGCCACAGATTTCTCCTTGAAGCTTCCATCTTTGCACAACAAGTTCCTGCAAGCTACTGACTAGACAGATAACGAGTTGCAGGGTTGTCACATTTTTTGGGCATCAGAAAAAAACGATGAAATGTGATGGCTCGACACTTAGTTATTATGTTTTTGTGTCAAGAGCTCAGAATTTAGTATGTGAGGTATAAAGGACACTCGTGCCAAGTAAAAGTTAAAAAAGATGAGATGTAAAGAAAAGATTCATCCTTCATAGAGAAGTTGCAAACGCATGGGTAAAGACAATTAGTATCACAAGTCCTTCCACATGGCTGACTCTGTAAGCTTGAGGAGAACAGGAATGCTGCACATCCTGCCATGTTTGCACCTGCAGTCATCTGTGGAGGTGGCGGGTATCAGGTAATCATAATAGGGGGCAGTTATGTTTCTTTTCCCCTCGTGGGGAATCAAGCAAAAGGAGATGACTGTTAATTAACTCCGTAGTCTGGAGGGAAAATGCGTTGGAGGCGTTGAGATGTAAAATGTAATTAGAAAAAGGAAATGCGGCATGTACAGTTTGTGTTTGTGCGTTTGATTTGTGTATGTGTGGGAGTGAATTAGCCCACAGTTGAAAGATAAAGTGTGTTTTTAGTTCAATTTGCTGGCAGGACTCATAGGTTTTCTCTGCTTATTTGTTGCAGTAGGGTGCAGTGTGTACAGATAAAGAATATAATGCAATAGCATGCAACAGAAGAGCATCTGTGTATTTTTTTCTACACTGTAAGAAATGAAATGTTAATTTGACTCAAATACCAAGTTCACTGACAACCGTTTTTCACTTTTTTTAATATGACAGGTCACTCTGAGTTTAACAAGCAAGCAAAATGTGAAAATAGTCTTCTACCCGTATTTCCTGCATTCACTGCCAATATCACTAGGGGCAACAGTAGCTCAGGAGGTAGAGCGGGTTGATCAGTGATCGGGGGATTGTGGGATCAATCCAAGCTCTCACCAGGTTACTCAGCTGTTGTGTCCTTGGGCAAGGCATGACTTGCCTGCATTGGTGGTGGTCAGAAGGGCAGCCTTCCTTCTGTCAGACCACCCAAAGATGGCTGTGGCTTATCATCATCATTATTATTATTATTATTTATTATTAATGTTATAGAGAATAGATGAGCAAATCCTCGGATTAGAAAAGCCAGTCAGATCTACGTCACATTGAAAATTAACATTCATGGACTCACCCATCTTGGCTCATGACGGGGAAGGTTGTTTTTGATTTAACATCCAGGAGAGAGCAGAGCCCGTCTCAGCTAGTAGAAGCGTCTTCGGGCTTGTGTAAAGCATCAACGTTACAAAGCAAGCATTGTAAGTGGTTAAGTTGCATTCATGTTAGCCAATCAGTGACGAGGTGTTTCATTATGGAGAAATTAGACTCAAACCCTGCTTTCTTCTGCTTACCTCTCGTCTGGCTAATTTCTAGTTCCTGAAACAGGAGCACCAGAGCTTTGATCCCACAGGGATGGACTCACAAGGCATTCATTTATAATAAGGACCACTGCAAACGTCTAGAAAATACAAGCAGTGGTACATTGTTTTGTTGTTTCAGCGCCTTGGGCTTCCTGACAGGGTTGCGGAAGGCGCTTTATAGATAAAGCTTTGATTGATTGATTGATTGTTAAATGTCGATGTATATTACTATTTACATTTAAGCAACTAGGTGTAGATGAACCAGATAAAAAGCAAATTCAACGTTTCATTTCTTAAAGTGTGGAGGAAAATTCACATATTTGACAAAGTTTGTTTAGGCGACAACTACAGGTTAGATAGTATAGAAGTGTACTATTCAATGTGTTTTAATATAATTACACCACTTAACTGTGATTATATGTGTTGAGTTGCATCCTTATAAAAAGTTATTTTTTTCTTACAAATGGGAATAAAAATACCAAAATCTTATTTGACAGTCTCATTGGGATGGTTTGACTGGAAGACTTTCCTTCAACAAGACAACTGGTCTGCGCACAGACTTCGACCTGGACATCATCAGCCTAAAGGAGGATGGGCTTGAAAAGGTAACTATAGTTTAAAACAGTGGTTTCTGTCAGAGATACAGGAAGCCTAAGTCACGCCGATCTACTTCCATATCACGGGTCCCTGGAAGAACGGAAAAATGAATGCAAGTCAACGGGGCTAAAAACGCTATTTTCTAATTCCGCTTTTTATTTGCCATGTACTGTATCTCACAAATGATGTCCGTGAATTATAAAGACGCATTTTAATACCAAGAAAACACTTATTTTTGAATGGGCGAAACACTATTTTAGAATTTGGGTGAAAATAAGTCACAACCAGACACGGACAAAAATGGATGGAAAAGGGTTGTAAGATTAACAAACTTCAAATCCTTTCTTCAGAAGAAAAGAACCACCATAAATCTGGCAATTTGGCAAGTAGCAGCTATGCTAGGGCAGAGGCGATTCTGTGGTGACGTCACATATGCAACGTGCTGATGTCTGATTTGTAGTCATGCTAATTTCAAACTTTACAAGATGATAAATCTCAAAGTATGTGACTGGTGTGGTGCGATCAACAACATATGTGCGATCCAGGGCCAAATGCGGATGAAAACATCGCTGTTTTAGCCCCGTTGACTTCCATTCATTTTTTCGTTCTTCCGGGGACCCATGAGCCGACCGGAAAGGGAGACTTAGGCTCCCTATTCCACACTCTCATTTTGTTAATGTTACAGTATCATTTACCTCCTAACAAGGAAGCAAATTGGCTGTGGCAACATAAACATGAATTAGTGGTTCATAACAAGTAAATTGGATAACGGTACACATTTGGGGGTTAATTACTGCCTCTCTAAATGATCATTTTGGATGATGACTAAAATGTGATATTAAATTGTGTTTTTTTTCAAAAAGTACGGAAAGAAAATCTAAAAAATAAAATTTAAAAAAGGGCACCTACAATGGCTGTTATTTACTTAATGGTTTTCATGCAGCTGGACTATATAAAATAGGGACAATCCATCATTACTTCCTCAAATACTCCCTAAAGGCTAAAGACTATACAGCATAATGGCAGAAGCGTTTGGGTTTATGGCCCTGCAGAAAGGAGCTTGTAACACTGGGGCTTTGAAGTAAATCTTCCTCGTTTTGCTGCCATCTTGTCCCGCACAATCAGACACACAATCATATTGCAAAAAGTATTTGATGCCATATTAGTGCCTTCTCATTGTGTTTCTGACAAATCCGGTGCTCAGGCATGTTAGCGTCGATCCAACGGCGTGCTGCAGATTGCTGGATTTTTCTTTCTTTCTTTCAGCCTTTGTATATCCATGGAATCGGCTTTAACTGTGTGAGCCTGTTAAGATGTGGACTTTTTTTTTCCTACCCCCTCAATAATCCCTCGTAATTGAATATTAGCCCAAGTTTGAGCCCTTGCTAGAAGTATGAGCAGGTTCTCAGAGTGCCACTTTTGCTCAGAGTGCTCAGGATGGTGATTTAAGTGCAATACTCATTGTGTGGTTGCATGAGCAAATAACTTTGTGTAAAAAATATTTGACTAATCATGTTAAATGAATTGGACTAATTGTAATTGGGTACAATTAGAAGGGGGTTCTGTAAAGCGGAAAGCATTCAGGTATTTTTTTTAATTCTCTGCAGGAGCCCTCTTCGGTTGTGTGACAAGCTGTAACTAATGTGGTTTTCAAATTAGAGCATATGCCTCTCTCTGGATTAGGCAGGGAGGACATTAACAGGCATTTTTCATGCTTTTGTGTGTGTGTGTGTGTGTGTGTGGGGGGGGGGGTGTCTTTAAATGGATCCACCTCAAGCACAATCCTCAGTGAATATTAAAAGCTCTGTGTGTAGTAGCAGTAGCAGTAGGCAGAGAAGGGCTTGGTGGAGAGCTCGACTATAGCAGACAGGGATTGTTATAGACAGCCACAGGACGATTTGTGCTAATGATATGTTTCAGAGTGTTTCCACAATGTGCAGATTTTTGCCTTGGGGCTCCTCGCATGTGTAACTCCTTTTATTTGTTCGAGTCACTTTGCTCATAATACCAAGACTGCGGAGAAAAATTACTTTCACAGCGTAATCCCACCATAACCTCTTCCGGCATTTTATTCGGATAAACTGTAAACGCTGTGAAATGTTAGCAATTTCTGTTGGAATCGTGTTTATTTTTGAGAGTGAAAATAAGTGTTCATTTATTATGAAAAGTTTCGCCATCTGCAAAATGATGAATACTGTTTAACACTGTATAGCGCCTTTCAGAGTCAGGGGACTCCAGAGTGCTTTACACCACAGTGTGTCATTCATCCATTTACAAACATATTTACACACATTGGTGGTGATGTGCTACAATGTAGCCACAGCTGCCCTGGGGCGCACTAACAGAAGCGAGGCTGCCATGCACAAGCGCCACCGGTCCCTCTGACCACCGGTAGGCAAGGTGGCTTGCAAAGTTTGATCTTAGATGAATGCTTGAAGTTAGCATGTTTTATGGCCCAGATGGGTTTTAGACCCAGGTCTGCTGCATGGGAGACCTCTAACTTTACCTCTGGCCTATAGAGATGTTTTAAAAACGTCCTTAAAGTTTCCGTCTTTTGACAGTTTGCAAAAAATGAAACGGCATATCTTTATGTATCTCGGCATCATGATAGCTACCGAGAAAAGTGACTTTACAGTTTTTGTCTTCAATGGCAAATTAGAAAAATAAATATTTCATGCCTCTTAACAACGTTGTAACATAGCTATAGATATATTGTAGAGTTTAAAAATGTTTTTAATAAAGTGGTTCTCTCGCAGCAGAACACCACTGGTGTGAGAGTTTCGTTGCTCAATGATATCAGAAAGAGGAACACCCGACTGCTACCACAAACTACCATTTAAACACCGTTTGAAGTCACGGACAGCAAAAACGTTTCGACCTAGAAAAGGCAACTGGTGTTTAGCGCTCTCTCGTTTCCTTCGGCATCGCAGGTTTCCCGTTTCCGGCAGAAGTGTTTCAGGAAAGATACCTGAGGGAAGGGGTGGGTGTCCCATGACCGTGTTTACGTTCTAAACCAAGCTTGTTTGCAGAATCTCTATAGCAGCTTTTTTAACCAGGATCCCAGAGATTATTCTTGAGTAGTTCAGGTATAACCATACACACACGTTCAAGTAATTTATGAAATATAACAAGTTGGAGTACCCCAAGGGACTCAATTTGGTCCTGTTCTTTTTCCTCATTCTAACCTTTATGAGCATTTTCAAAGATCTGATATAAAACTGAAGTGGATGACTCTTTCCAGTTTGTTTCTACCTTGACTGTAGCAGGAACTTCCTCTATTTGTACGTCGTACTGCCTGTCTAGACATCTTTACAAAGCAGATGATGACTCTTATTCCTTGCATTCACTCAGGAATCTTTTTAAAATATTGTTTTATATTTGTTTTTAACAATCTCTGTTAAATTAATAATTCTGTTTTAGTAAAATGCAGATTTTTCTCTGTGATAGATGCTTTGTAAATCAATTTTAGATGCTTAATACTTGCAACTACCTGCACTCCATGTTTCAACATGCCATTTCAACATTGTTCAAACAATCCCAGCTCGTACAATTTACCCACCACGCCTTGTAATTAGATTTTTAAATAACCCCTGCTTTCTAAAGCCCCTTAGCCTGCTGATAGAAGGTGACTCAACCAATCACTTAATGCCGCCGGAGGTGTTCTACCTGGAGATGGTTGGTGAGGGAGTTGTGGAAGTCATAGCTTACCAACCGACACAGGACACTTGGCTACACACTTTTCATCTTCCACAGGTGGGGAAGTGGAGTGCGTCAGGAGGTCTTAACATCACAGAAGTGCTGAAGCGAAAAGGAATGAACATCACTGATTCCCTGGCTAACCGCTCCCTTGTTGTCACCACCATTCTGGTAGGTCACATGTGTGAAAAGTGTCTGACATGTGATGCTTCACCAGTTTTATGGAAAAGCTCTAAAAATAAAGCTTTACGGTTGGATATTATATTTCTTTCCTAGAAAATCAGGTTATATTGCTCCAAATGTAGAGCAACATTTAAAAAAATGTGCTCAGGTGATGTTTTTCCCCCATGACTGGCATGTATATTTAAAATGAGCCCAAACATTATAGTTCTGTTGTATTCCAACAGCTGAAGTATGGAAGAAATACAGTCTCACCAGAGTATGACTTTTTGTAGACCTTGACCTTTTATTCCGTGTAATACACCAGCAAAAAAAATGTGTCCGTAAAAATTCAGTTGCTAAATTTCATCTTCAAAAATTCAATAACAGAATTCAAACGTAAAAACGTCATCAGCAAAAATTCACAAACAGCGAATATTCAACAACTAAGGCGACCTTTTGGTAATTGCCAGTCAATCGAGTTGAGTAGCTTTTAGCCAATCAAATTCCGCTTCTCTGATCATGTGACACCAGCGAGGTGTCGACTTGATGGAGTGATGATTGCTTTGGCTTAGGTCGCCAGCAGGTCACCTGAGTTGTTGAACTTTTGCTGATAAAATCATTAAATCGATGTTACGCTGTTGCACTTTTGAAGATGACATTTTTTGTTAGTATGTTTTACATTAAACATAATTAAAATACACAATTTCGCAGAAAAAAATTTGATGTCATAAATTCAATGTCTAAAAATATTCATTTTCTAGTGAGACTATTTCTTCCATGTCGAAGCAAGACACAGCATCCTTTCAGCGTTAAAAGCTGAGAGTAAAAAAAGAGGTAAAAAATGCATAAATGGAGTGGAGGAGATACAATGAGCAAGTCCTGAAAATGCATTAATTACACATTCAGACAGAAAAAGAGCGAGGTAATGCCTGTTCCAGATCACTATTACCATTCATCTGAAGTTGTTTGTACTTAACTCTGTCACTGCTTGTTGCTGTGGAGCTATCAGTGTGGCGCTGGTGCAGACATCCCCCTCCACACTCCCTTCAAGCTACAACGATAAACACTATTATTATGCCTATATTGAACCACAAAGCTGTAATTATGACAAGCAGGATCGTGGTGGGCCATAATTAATGCCTATCAGGTGCCATCTATATTAATTCTGTCTCTGAGTGGAGAAATAGAACAAGGATTTAAGTGGTCTAATGTTTGAACTACTGTACTGGGAAATACCAGTTACTGGACTAATGTCAAAAAGGTATAATGGAGATAGTTTTTTTTCATATTTTATAACAAAATCTTTCATTTTTCGTGACATACTTTTGGATTTGTTGGTTTGTCAGATAATCATAAGTTTAGGAACATAAAACTTTGAAATTGCAGAAGAGAACTTCAAATGTAATATAAATCTCCCCTTGTGGTAGAATAAAATCAGATCACACTGATTCTCAGTGTTGCATGAGCAAGACATCTGACAGTTTTATAGTGATCACTTTGTAGAATAAATTAGGGCACCTAATGTGTTTTCCTCTCATACAATAATTGTTTGCACTCCATTGCCTTGAACATTTACGCACAAGCCCACTCCCCCTTTTTTTCCGTTATGCACGCTCATGCTGCGCCTGTGAGGGGAGAGCTGGTATAAAGACTTTGATTTGAGTTCTAACCTTGGGGAATTGCACCAACTGAAAGGCTAGAAACAGATGGTAATGGCTCTCTCCCTAAACGCCAAACTTTTTTTTGATCAAGTTAATTAGACAATTTCAGTAAAGTTTGCAGCAAAGCATGTGAACACAAAATGCATTGTCATCAAGAATTCCCATCTTATTTATTTGTAAACGATTCAAACTGTGGTGTTTAAAGGTGCAATTTGTAAGAAATCTACAGTGAGATAATCACAAAACAGTCTAATGCCTCAATCATGTTGAAAGGAAGGTTACAGTGAAACAGATTTTCTTCTAAAAAGGGGTTGTCAGTTTTTCTCCTTTTGAAAAAAATTAAAGAGGTACATAGTTACCGTTTACAGTCTGAGTTTGTGAGGTTGACGAATCTGCAGCGAGCTAATGCAGCAGCGCAGGCTTATGTATTTTGACACCGGCAACAAAAAGCTCCAGAGTTAACAGGAGCAACCAAAACGTTATTTCTTGTACCCCTATGAAGCCACCGAAATGTTTGTTTTACTCTAATATTAGGTGAGGCAGGCTAAAGGCTAACATTGCATAACATAAACATTGACCTAACAATGCTAACAGTGAATTCAATGACCTTACGTGTGAAGTGAATAATGAGTCAGTCGTGGCGTTTTACTTCCTTTAATGAGTTCAGCAAGCTAACAGCAAGACGACAAACAACCACACTTCCTGTAGTGCCGGAGAAAAATTACCGTAATAAGTGCAGTAAGTACTCGAAGCGCATCAGGCACAAGCAAAAGACAGAAAACATAAAAGGAAATGAGCCGACATAAACGATCGCTTGTTAAATTTGTTTCTGAGGTGGCGACACCTAATTTGATAATGTTACTGTGGCCATGCTCAGGACGCAGATGTCTGGAGCTCGTCAACGATCAGAGCTTTGCATGCGCAAGCCGGTTAAGGTTAGGATGGGGGTGAGGGGAAGGTTAAATTGCAAGAGGGTAAAGGTCACAATTCAGTCAAATGTTCGTTTTACGGCGGGCGTCAGATACTGACGCTCTGGCACAGCGCGTCGCCTCCCAACGCGCAGGGGCTTATCACCTGCTGTCTTTTCCGAGGACTGCATCTTGTCAGTCATTATCATGTGACGGCGACTAGTCGATGACAGGCATAAAAAGTCACTACCCCTCTCTCTCTCTCTCTCTCTCTCTCTCTCTCTCTCTCTCTTTAAAAAAATAAACAATGCATAGAGGCCACCTTCAAATGACAATCAATTACTCTACTGAGCTCAGTTATTAAATTAAACATCTGGCTATTGGGGGCAATAAATTGTATTACAGCTTTTGCATAAATGGACCAACATGTTTTGAAATGCACAGCAGGATCTGCAAGTCTGTCTGGCAGGAAAATGGTAACAGACAATAATTAAAGGAAATCATTTATGAGCAGTTCAGTGTGAGTCATTGTCACCGCAGGCATCAGCTCAGTTGCTCTCCCTTGGAGGACGTTGACAATTGATAAAGGCGCCATCGTGGGCATGTTCGCTTTCCCGCTGCTGCTTTCTGGTCCTAATCGGGCTTTTATACGGCCCAAATTATGAGCAGCCAGGCAGTATTACAGGCCAGTAAAGAGTGCCAGGTACCTGACCATAAAATGAACTGACCTGTGCACCTGCTAAATAGGTCAGCGTCTGACATAGCGGAGGCCCATTCAGAGTCGAAAAATACACCTGTGACCATAACCATCACTTCAGTGAACATTATACGGGACGACGATGTAAAAGATATTTATCTACATAGCAAATTTTGCCAAGCTTGGTATTTGTCTCATTAGTTTTACTGTGGGAGAAAAAAAACAATCTTTCTGTAATATTTTAACCCTCTCTGTATCCACACACACACACACACACACACTTGATTCTGCTGTCACTATCTGTTAAGTGCAACAGTGACTCGTCAGCTCAGATCACTTCGCTTCAATTAGGTGCATGTGCTGAAGCAAATAGAAAAAGCTGACCTCACCGTTGCTTCTCATTTGATGTTTTTGGGTCTTTGCAGGAGGAGCCATATGTCATGCTTAAGAAGTCTGACAAGGCGCTGGTAGGGAACAACCGTTTTGAAGGATTCTGCATTGACTTGCTGAAGGAGTTGGCAAACATCCTGGGCTTCACGTACGAGATCCGCCTGGTGCCGGACGGGAAGTACGGCTCTCAGGACGACAAGGGCCAATGGAGCGGCATGATCAGGGAGCTTATAGAACACGTACGTTTTATTTTCAGCATGTCTTGCTCACTTTTCCTCCCCAAATCATAACGCGTGCATGCAGCTTGAGTCGGCTGTTGACTAACCTAATTTAGAAAGAAAAAAGAGCAAGGCATGCTTTGTATAACATGGTGAAACAGGCCTTTTGCAAATGCAAGGCTAATTTTTTAAGGCGGTTTAGTTTAAAAGATGCAAAATGCACACATTTTCTTTCCTTATAAACATTGTGTGCCAGATAATTATTTGGTTTTGGCAGTTGCCAGGCAACCAGCAAAGCATTGAGAAACCCAGAGTAGCGAATAAAAACATGAGCATGTTCATTTTGCTATGTGAAGATTTTCTTACCTGGGGTCAATTGTTTTTGCCTCTTTGCATTTCTCGTATAAACTATGTATTCATTACTCAGGCATTTTAAGACCAGCCAGATTTTTTTCAAAAATTTGCTGCATCTCTGCACAATAGATCTATGCACTCTGAGAGCTTTCTGCATCATCCTGAAAACGTAGAAAATCATACGACTTAGCCGGATTGCAGCTCGTGTCCTCCACGCGGACAGTGATATAGTTATGATTGACTACAAGTCAGGAAGAGCTTGCCAAGCTGTCAGCCACATTTATGGCACAATTATGTCAAGGTTGCCTAAAAGTTACAAGTGTGTTGACGCCATTCAGTGAGACGAAGCACTTTCCACAGCCGGATAAACCCGAGATCTCCTGTGATGCTGCACAGGCAGTCGTGCAAGCACATGGGCGATCATCTTTCTGAGGTGTAGTGGGCGGTCACAGCCGTCTGTGTCAAACTCAGTGCCTCAGCGGCCATGAAACAGCCCCATATCCCATTGGTGGTGGTTATTCTCTGATGGCATTTCATAAGTGTCCCTGTCGGTGCACTCCCTTTGTCCTCAGCCCCATCAGGTCAGAGCTGTACTCGGCTGAAAACTTGTAATAGCGTAAGTGGCATTTAGTGCAGGGAATTGTGTAGCAGGAGTCAATGGCTTGGTGCTGAAAGGGTTGGGAAAGGTGGGCTCCCACTGCAGCACTTTATTTCTTCTTCCAAGCTTTTTGCAGGATCCTAGTTGATAACAATAACCTTTAGAGGGACAAATGGATTACTGAAGGCAAGAGAAGTCCGGCACCAAAATGAAAATGCATGAATCCGTGGTTTACGAAAACATGCAGTTTTAGTTTTAGTCCTGTCCTTTTGTTAAAAGTAGAACGTTTAGCTTACGGCGGTAAGACTGGTGGCGTCTGGTGACAGGGACCCTTTTTTCTAGAGGTATTGAGCTAAATTTCAATAGATGCTGTTGTAGATGCAGTGTTTGTTTAAAGCAACATGTTCACTCGTTTGTTTCTAGTTTATTGCATCAAGAAGTTAGACATTTCCAAATAGAAGACAAATAAATTCAGTCTTTTTTCGAGGAAATACTTTCTATAAAAGCAGCAGGGGTACAGATAAGAATCTATGCCGCCACACTTATAGCTTCTTATCACATGACTGAGGATTTAAAATGGTATCTTCATACATATTTTTATTGAGCTCCATTTCTCGCTCCAGTGGTTTTTTTAAACTCTGTTGATAAGAATAAGCTGCTCTGAAATGTAAACCTAAAGGGAAGCTCAGCTGATTTCACCCTGAGGTGACACTATAGAAAGTAATTTGAGGGAAAACTGGCATATAAACCTTTTTAGAATGACTAGTAAAAGTTATAAACACAAGTTAGATAAAATAAAAAGGTAAATGTGCTTGCATATTCCTCTGATTGCTTTGTATGTGTTAGTATGGTAGCACTTTACATTACAGCTTGGTAAAAACATGGTAATACTGTGGTAATACCAATGTAACAACTAGGGTATAAATAGTAACACTGTGTAATTTCTTTATCTTGTAACAATCAAGGGGCAAACCCCAGCTGCTAAAGGTGAAGCCAACACGGAAGTGACACAAAATGCAGTTCTGCCCTCATCCACCAGGGGGTGGCTCCACAAAGGAGCTAGTTTCCATTGACTCCTACTTAAAAAAATTACACACAGAAATAAACATGTTTACAGTCTGGTACAAGGAAGCATTTTAGGTTCATTAGGTCAAGTTTTCCATCGTGACAATTCTGAGAGGGGTCCATTTTTTGTAACTCTTCCATTTAGGTGTCATTAAATGCATTAAACGTTTGATTGACAGCAAGCAGATGAGCCGTCAGTGGTAGCAAGGAAGTCCTCAGCCTCTGCCTCACGTAGCTGGGTAGCTCACGTAGCTCGGGTAGCCAAGTCGCTCTGGCTAAACACTCCTACCAACCTCTGATAGCTTTCATTAGCTCAGTTAACTCGTAGCTACATCCGCTCAGAGTTTGATGGGTATCAATTATCTGCTCCCACCCTCAGCTCCATTTTTGTATTTTCCGGGAGTGACGGGACATGTGATGGGGCCAAGATGGCAGTGGTGGGAAACACACATTGGGCTTTAATACAACTCTCGGGAAACCTACGTGTGGCAGAACGGAGGGTTTGTCCATCTTATATAAACAAGTCAATGGCAGCAATGAAATACCACAGTAATTACTTCAAGTTCCAGATTGTAACAGCATGGTAATAGTGTGGTAATACCAGTGTTATAACTATGTTACACTGTGTTATCCCCTTTGCCAATTACAAAGAAATAACAGAAATATCGAACTGTACTAGGAAAATCTTATTAACTACCAATTCTAACCATGTAATGTCATGAAATTTGCATACTTTTGTTTACTATTATTGTTGTAATTACTTCAGTTATAACTGCTTAATTGCCTGTTGTATCAACATTTTTCCTTTCTTTTAACCATCTCCGGCTAAAAATAAGTTTTGATAAAAGAACGAACAGCTAAGTCCTTCTGGGGTGCTTTTGAGTAGAAAATTGCTCATGAAATACGGATGTGGAGTGGTAAAGATAGGTAAAGATAGGTAAAGGTTTTAACTGTTGCAAATCTGCAACGCCTGCCTCCAGTGGGTTAATGCTAAAGTAATGATCATGAATCAGGGCTTTAAAGTGACCAATAATGTGTTCCTATTCTTTTCTTGGTAATATTTTGTTATCATAACCCCCAAAAAGCCATAAAAAATACTGTGCATAATTACTAAATAAAGTGCTAGGGTAGAAAATGAGTGTAAGCTGATCAAATGGCTAAAAACACTATCACACCATCTTCTAAGTACAAAATTACACCAACGACTTTCCCAAAATAATTTACAAAACAACTTTCTTTACAATTTAAATATCAAAATGTGTATTGTCTTTACAATTAAGTGAAGTTTTTCAATAAGATGCGGCCAATTGCAATAATTTGTGTAACACGCAGCTTTATTTCCTCGTGTAGTACCAAAACCCACTGCTGCGCCATGGGGCATTGTTTGGAAGGTGCTAAATGATGCAACAGGCCTTGTTGAACTTGATTTAGTCAGAATAGATGATCACGTTAATCATGCTGTGATGCAAATGTTAATAACATTCTTAGCACATCATTTATTTCAAAGCAATTAATCTCTCAGCAGACAGATACACAAGAAGGTTGTAGCCAGCACGCTTCCTCTTTGTGCAGGTTGTCAGAAAGATTTAAACTCAAGGAGTCACTCTATATTTTAGGTTAATGTGCATTTTTTTTCCCCATTCTTGCATTTTCTATATTTGCATTTTCATCCAAAACATATTTCCTAGTAGTCCATGCTTACGAGTAGATGTGTGATTTTGATTTTCATCTGACAAAACAGGACAGCTTGATGGTGAGTGTGACTGACTCGTCCTGTCGCCGCAGGAACACAAGTTCGACTGCTGCAACAGTGACAACATGCCTGTCCTGCCTACCAAGGCATGCTTGAATAAATCAGTTAAAAGCCACCACAGTGTTGTGCTTGTTGGAAGCGGCGTTTTTATGACACTGCGTTGTATGGTATATATGCAAATATTATTTTGCAACTACTTCATTTGCCTTGTCTAGACACACTTTGTTGATGCAAACCAACGTTTTTGCATTCCCTTTTTATTGTAGGATTTCCTGCAATTGTTTTATAGTTCAGCAAATAGCATTTCTGCAATCACAGTACATAATAAAATAAAATAAATATGTTTATCTGTTATAAAGGGCTAAAATGGAGTGAGATAAAAGCAGAACACTATACCGGTAAAAGACAACATGGTTACTCATACTGGGAACATCCACGAAAAACTCATATAGGTGTGTTTCCATTGTCGGAACTTCAGGGTAATTTCTGGGAGGAGGAAACTGACCGGAAGATTCGATAGCTCGCCCCTCTCTGCTGTTGTGTTTCCATACAAATTCTTTGCACAGGCATCAGCATATCGTGACTGCCCCGGCAGTGAATGATGTGAATAATCAGTGCCAAAAAGCATCCGCAGTAACGTTAAAAGTTTAATTCTGTCAAAGTATGGTAATTTAATCTATTCAGATTACCAGGAAAAATGCAATGTGATGTAAAATGTGGTGTTCGATGACCAGAAGTACAGTTTTTACGTTGCTCAGTGAGACAAAAAAGCCCCATGAAATACACACAGTAGATGTTAGGTGATCTCTTCTGTGTTTTTGGGAGCTGGGAGTTCAATAACGGCCATTTTAAAGCCATGTTGCTTATTTTCTTGTGCTTTCATTTAGCTTCATGAGCAACTCTTCAAATTTGACAATTTACAGTTGTTTTAAATGGCGTCTGGCTGATGTCATTTCTTCCTGACTTAACACCAATCCCCATGAGTTAACCAAAAGTTCCACTCAGCTACTTTACCGGGACTTCCCGAGTACCTACCCCAGTTCAGGTGTTCCGAAAGTTCCTTAAAATGACCCATAAAATAGCCCGATGAAGTAGTTCCGGTAAAATTACCCTGATGTTCCGATATTTGAAATACGCCTCATATGTTCTTGTGTTTTTGAGGACTAGTAATAATATAGATCATGTTACTGATCATACGTTGTCAAGGTTGACATCAGGTGAAGAGATCAGGGTTGACAGCAGTGCTAAGCACACCATCTGCAAACCCAGATAACACCAGGCCATGTGGCACATAGCAGGGCACTATCGGGTTATCTTGCTTGGGTCCAGTTCCTGTGCATAATCAGGAAGCAGAACAAGGACATGCGGCATGTATATTAGCCCTCCACAGGGATCTCTGCAATTGCATGCTAGCTGATCTTATGGCTGAGTGGCAGGTTGGTTCAAAGCTGCAGTTGGCAGGTGGGAAGAGAGGGAACAGTATGTGATGTGCAAATTTGAATAGTTTGAGGGAGATGGCAGATGCACGGCAGGGATGCACCGGTTTTGCCATCTTTCCAATTCTTCAGACGCAGATCCATGTTTAAGCACCACGGTGCGGACCACAGGAGCACGTAATTCAAGGTGCCACATGCAAAGGGGAAATGTTTTCTATCTGACCTGTGTTTACGGCAAACTGGTAGTTAACATAAAAATCCGAGGGGAGAGGCATCTGAAAAAGGAGAAAGCATAATTAAAGCTGGGAAAAACCAAAGGGTCTTCATTGAAATAAATCCAGAGTAAAATAAAGATTTAGGTTTCATGAGGTACCGTAGAACATGCTGCAAAACACCTCAGTCAACACGAAAAAGACAGAATCTGCATTTATCTTTGTGCTCATTTTATTGCACGTTATTTTAGTCCTTGTTTGTCTGTTTTTTAGTTTTATTTCAAATTTCATAAACAGATTTCAGGGGTGACTTCATGTGAAGGGAATGCAGCACGGTGAACCGTTGTATACTGAAGCCTCGCTTCTCTCCCACTGCTCTGTCTGTTGGAAGTAAAGAAAGCCTCCCTTTGTGAGTTGTGTCGTTTCTTGGAAGGGAAAAAAGAGGTATCCAAGCGTGAACCAAGCAGCTGGTTTCATTAACCTCCCACCCAGCTATCATGTAGGGGGGAGAGGGCGGTGGTGGTTTTGAGGGGAAGGCAAGGGTAATTCTCAATCATTTAAAAATCCACCTTTAGCCACTAATTTAAGGGCTAGTTCATCATACATTCTTAGACATCGACTATTTAATAAAAATAATCCCTATAGCTGTTAGCTCAATAATTTGTAATCTGGTTGCAGAGCTTAAAAACAGAAGTGTTGGGCAATGAACCAACAGAAGCAATACCATTGACCAGTAATCATTGTCCAGTTGTTGTGTTGCACTTATCATGTTTTAAAGTGTTGTCTAAAGCTATAGTTCCCGCCCCTCCTCCCCCTTTCCCTCTGGAAGAGTTGAAAGCCACGCCTCCTACCGCGGAGTAAACCGAAATCAAAAACATTCCCTTTAGCGTAAGGTTGACTTTTACGCTAATCAGTTAGCTCCAATACACACAAAATCTGCTTTAGTTCCCCTCTCTTCTCTTCCACGATTAGCTTAAACTTCAGAGATGTTAATTCAACGCAGGTTGAGTTAGCATTCAAGCTAGCACCATTTAGCATACATCTGCATTATTAGTTCTGTTTTTTTAAATAATTTTTCAGTAAAAATTCTCTAAAACACAATAACTGGTTTAGTATTTACCTGTCCAAAGAAACATTGGCAAACTCATCAGTTCTGGGACCTAGTAGCTCTCAGAGCTTCCTCCATCTTTTAAAACCTCCAAAGTTAATTTTACTTCCCTGCCTATGTTGCGCGGTGAGTTTTAGAGAAAGATTTTTAAACTGTTCAAAGTTTCATTGAGAAGTAGAAGGCAGTCGAGGAATCGGTAACTTCAATATTCAGTATTTGTTTTGGCTGAACTATTGAATTCTGTAGTGCATGCTGGGGACTTGGCTCATTGATTGACAGCTCCCTCTTGTGGATACACAACTCTGTTGGTCAACGCTCTAGGCCCAATCTCAATACTTGCACATCCACCCTTGTGCCCTTCAATTGCGCGTTCCCGGCCAGGGGTGCGAGTGCGTATGGTGTCCTGATTCTCAGGTGCGGAAGTTGACCATACCCCGATTACACCCTTAATCTGCACTTCACCCAAGTCCGCAGCGATGCACACCTGTATACTACACACTCGAAGCCTTGCAGCGCACTTTCTTCAAGTGAACTTTGCTAAAGTCCGCAGGGCGCAGTGCGAGTATTGAGATTGGGCCCTAGACTCGTTCAAATGATTCCTTAAGCTGTAGATGCCAGGGGAGGGGCTTAGGGTAAATTTAAATTTAAGCATTTTTTAAGTTACTTAAAAAAATGTTAACTATACTCCAGCGTTAACATGCATAATTGTGCTAAGTGAAGCTATCTCTGAATGAGGTCTGTGATGCATTAGAAGTGCATGGGTAAAATGAAACTCCTCATATTTAAATGTAGACGGCTGAATGTATGTTTGGATTTATACTCAACTGTGACAACATAGTCATCTAAGATACCGCACAACCATTAACATGCAGTATACTGAATATACATATTTTACCCATCCTTGGTTTGAGCTATTTCCACAGCAATCAAATCCAACAATGTGGGGATATTTTTATCTAAAATAAAAAAAAGAAACATCTCTGCCTCTAGAGCTATGTTGATAGCTCCAGAGTACAAAATCATTTTTTGAACTTCTTTTCTGCAGAGAGCCGACTTGGCAGTGGCCCCCCTCACCATCACCTACACCCGTGAGAAATTCATCGACTTCTCCAAACCCTTCATGAGCATGGGCATCAGCATCCTGTATCGCAAACCCAACAACACCAACAGCGGCTTTTTCTCCTTCCTGAATCCCATGACTCCAGACATCTGGGTGTACATCCTCCTGGCCTACCTTGGTGTTAGCTGTGTTCTTTTTGTCATTGCCAGGTAAGTGCAGTCGTTTCAAAGCTATTTGTCCTTTCAGTCCTTCATCCCTCTCCCCATGAGGTTTCTAGGAGTCCCAGTAATTTACTCTGTTATCATTACAGGCTGAGGTTCGAGTACATGAGCCAGTTTATCATACTGCGCTAACTGCTGGGTAGTGATGGAGGCAGTTATGTCTGTTTGGGCGCTCTGCAGCTCAACAGTGGAAGAGGGGATACAAAAAAAAAACCCTGTAGTTGAGTTGCAAAGTCCCATTCAGAGCGTAATTTCTGGCTTCCTGTGGGACGTCTTTGGAATTGGAACGGCAGCTCAAAATAAGAAGGTGGAAAAAAAGAAGAATTTATCTATTTATCATATTCAGCAGCACAAAAAAGCACACACACCTGAAATAGCATCAGTCGATCATGAGCATTTACATCCATTATGAATAATGTAGTAAGTCAGTCACAATTATGGAAGATGATCCTTTTTTTTAACCACCTATTCTTCTTTGGTTCTGAATATGAATAATGTGTTTTTAGTATCAGCGCTCGCATTTCCTGCCGTTTCGCATGCAAAGTGGTGCTTGAGGAAGTTTGAGCAAACGGGCGCTAGAGGAAGTTAGAGGCTCGAGAGCAAACAGCTGCACTCCTCTCTCCTCATTTGCCGTTGTGATGAAGCAAAATCTTGAGTGGCTTCACATAGAATTAAATCATTTTAAATTGATGCAATCATTTGTCTAGGACTACTCTGTGCAGATGAAGAGCTAAAGAAGCGTACATTTCCCTAAATGTATATAAAATTGACACATAGGGAAATCATGTCGCTTGTTATTTTATAAAATCAACTAAAAAAACACCTGCAAGTCTTGGGATAAGTGTGTCTGCCTTTCCTTTATTTCCATCCAACTTAGAATTAAAGAGCTTGTAGAAAACTCTTTTATGCAGGGGTGATTCTAGCTGGGTCCAGGGCGGGCCAGGGCCACCCTGACAGCAATCTTGGACCTCACTGAGCCCCCCCCCCCACCCCCCACCCCCCACCCCACCCCGTGGAGGGCAGAGCCTAAGCATTAATAAGTACTATTTCTTGTGAACGCAAAATGTGGAACCAAAATATGTGGATGCATTTATCTGAAATAGAAAATATGCTTGGGCAGTTTCTTCATGTTGTCACTGAGATAAATAACTCAGATAACGCATTTAAAAAAATATTTTTTTTTTTGCAAAATATGCAATAATAATGTAAATAGAATGAAATGGACTCAGACTATTTTTTGAGGATGCTGTCTGTGTGCATACAAGAAAAATTGTATATACATCTATTTAGGGATTTATATAAGATATTTTTTTCTTATCAGATAGTGTGAAGAAGAAACAGAAAGGCGGCTTTTTTTTCCAAGTTAATAAGTCAAGTAAAGCTGATTATTTTCATATCTGATTTTCTCATTGTTTAAATGTTTGTTTTTTATGAATATGCACTATTTGGTTTTAGTAAAAACTTATTTTACACTGAATGGTTTTGTGTACAATCACATCTGACTTGCAGTTTATTGGAAATGCATCTTTTTTTAAATGTTTGTTTGTTTTTCTCACCTATTTTGAAACAACCTGCAAATAAAAACACCTTTTTTATAGGCTCCACAAGGAAAACATATAATCAATGCACCCAAGTATTGTCTCAGGAGTATTATCAAACCGATCATTGTTACACAATTGCTTCTGTGGTCCTTCAGTCTAAAGTCTCTTTTTAGTTTATGAAATAACACGTCAGTCATCACAAAGAAAATGAGCTGCAAAGCTCGGCTTGAATGCATAAATTCCAAATTGTATTTCTGAACGCTGAAAGTGAAAAGATGCTTTTGTTCTGTTTGGATGCTATTTCCAGTTCGCTCTCATCGTGTGTAGGCTGTAGTGTTGTTAGCATGTGGTCTGAAGCAAGCTGAGAGCTTTGCTTTAAAGCACAGCACTTCTATAAATTAGCAGGGAAACCAGAACTAAGTGCTACACACTCATATAGCACCTCTTAAACCTCAGCACTTTACAATGCTTTTTTCATGCTTCATTTTCCTTTTCACACCCCTTCTACCAGATATGTGCACGCGGTATACATGCAGCCTGTTTAAATTCTCACTCGCACTCCAAAATGAATATTTGAGACAATGTGGAGTTTAGTGTCTTGCCCAATGTCACTTCAGCACTTTTATATTGGAAGATGAGCGCTCTAAAGCTGAGCGTCGTCCCTCTGAATTAGTGTTGCTGCACCATCTCAGTAAAAGCTGCACTCAAACCATTTGAGGCCCTTTTAAATGTATTTTAGTTTGTGCATAAAGTCTCCCCTGCACCCCCATGCCTCTTCACTATCGTATAATTATACGGCCATGGCTTTGCAATTTAACATTTAAGTAATAGAAAATCTGACTGAGAGAGTCTCAGCAACCACACGAAGCCTCTGCAGATTCTGAATGCTATGCAGATGAGTTAAAGGCGCAACTTGTAAGAATGGCATCCTGTGGTCAAATGTGGTAACTACAACCCATTTTTTAAGCTGCCATTCTGTGAGTTTCATGGCGGTTGCCAGTTACAGATCAGTTCCAGAAGTGATGACAAGCAATGATGAGTCATATACATTAGGATGATAAATTGATACATAGATAGTAAAATTTGGTGTTAGGGAACACAGTAGTTTGTCTCTGGCACTAGAGGAAGTGTGGTTGCTTCCCAACTTTCTGTTAGCTTGCTGCTAGTTATAAACGACTCATTAAAGGAAGTAAAACTCCTTGATGGAATGATTCTTCACTTCACACTAATATTTCACTGTAATATCTAGAAAAAAGTAGCTTGAGATGTTTTTAGAGCTGACTATTTGCTTCCAATACACCATTGTTAGCTCAACATTAGCCTGCTTCACGCAATATTGGCATAAAACAAAAGGATGCCATGGGTTCTTAGGGGTACAAGAAATAACTTCTGGGTCGCTCCGGTTTACTGGATTTGGTTCTTTAAACAACTCTGGAGCTTTTTCATCTGTTGGTGTCGAATCATAAATGGTGATGATGCAGCGTTAGCCAACTACAGCGATTCCGCCACCTCACAAACTCTGAGTGTAAACAGTAATTACGTCCCTCTTTAGCTTTTTTGAAAGGAGAAAAACTGATAACCCCCAGCTGACTGAAAATGAAATCTATTATATCTGCACAACCTTCCTTTCAACATGACTGAGACATTAAACTGTTCAGTGATTATTTCACTGTAGAAGTCTTACACATTGCTCCTTTAATCTGTACTTAATGGAGGGCTCATAATGAAACATCAAAATTAATAGCTAGGAAAAAAAACAATTTTACATGTGGAATAAATATACTTTTAAGGTGGAAAGAAGTGACATTTAGCAAGTTTTATCTGAGATCTGCAGAAAAGGGTGCTGAACTTTTACTGCAGAATTTATTTCCACTGAGCAGATGCTGAAAGTGCATGGCAAAGATTTGGAGAGATGCAAGATTTATGGCTTTGTGGGACTAAAGGAGTCTTTTATTCTTCACATTCTTAAACATGACATTTTATTGCTTTTGAAAATATCTGCTTCTTTGCCTCGATGGTCACCTTTAAATACAAAGGATGTTTGGGGAGAGGCAGAGAGATTACTCAAGGTAATGCTTAAAAGCAGGAACAACTGATTTAAAAGTGTTTTGATGGATGATTTGATAGGATATATAATTATATAAATGCTGAAAATGAGGCAATCTCTTTTAACTCAAAATATATTTGATCACTTTTTTTGTCAATGTCAATGTCAAGTTTATTTATAAAGCACATTTCCAACAATCAGAGACTGCACAAAGTGCTGTACACAGACAAGCAGTAAAAATAAAATGATAAAACCCTGAGAGCATCCAGTAGACCCTAAAATTAATTAACGATAACATCAGTTAAAAGCAAGGGTAAAAATGTAGGTTTTTGAAAGAGACATAAAAGCAGAAAGGCTGTTAGCAGACCTAATCTGTAGGGGAAGGCTGTTCCAGAGCTTGGGAGCGGCCACAGAAAAGGCTCTGTCGCCTCTGGACTTCAGCCCAGACTTGGGAACAGATAATAGATGTAGAGAGGATGATCGGAGGTTTCGTTTGGGGACATGAGTGTTGCGCCTTAAAACAGAGCAGTAGCATTTTAAATTGAATCCTGTAAGTGATGGGAGCCAGTGAAGAGCTTGTAAGACTGGTGTTATGTGATCCCTGCGCCTCCTACCTGTCAGCAAGCGAGCTGCCGCATTCTGAGCCACCTGCAAGTGGTGAATTGACGACTGCTCCAGTCCATGATATGGAGAGTTGCAGTAGTCTATTCTCGACATGATTAGCAGGTGTATAACCTTTTCAAAGTCTTTGAGTGGTAAATAGGGCTTGACTTTACTAAGAACACGCAAATAAAAGAACACTCTGGACCACAGAACTCATCTGTTTATCAAGTTTAAAATGGCCATCAATGAAAAAAACCCCAGATTTCTTGCTTGAGACACACAACAGGATTCTAAAGGGCCAAATACACGGTTTACCCCGTGCAACAGCCCAGGGTCCCCGAAAACGACAATTTCCGTCTTTTTGTCATTTAAAGTGAGAAGGTTCAATTTTAGCCAGTTTTTAACATCTTTGAGACAATTCAGTAATTAGTCAAACGATGGCCTTCGAGAATGTAGTGGGACATATATCTGCACATCGTCCGCAAAGAAGTGATAGGAGATGCCATGTTTATGAAAGATGGCACCAAGAGGCAACATATACAGCGAGACCGTTGTGACCGTTTGGCGAAAAAAACCTTTGAAAAATTGTGTAGATGTAAATAGATGTCATTAAATTGCAAGGACTAAATTATTGCTAAGGTTGCATCATGTCAGCTGACAATTTGTTTGTTTAAGTATTATTTAGTGTGCTTGTTTTTCTGAGTTATATTTGATTGTGGAGCTTTTGTTTTGCTGTCTTTGTTTAAAAAAATCACAATAATAGTTCAGGTGTAGCTTTTATTGGAGCCATTTTTAGGCAATAATGAGGTCTTTTGTTACGCTGTATAAAAAAAAGAGCTCCAAAATAGCTAAACCAGTGTTTGTTATTCACAAGAACAGCTTCTAAACCTCCTTATTCGTCGTCCTCAGATTCAGCCCCTATGAATGGTACGACGCTCATCCCTGTAATCCCGGCTCAGATGTGGTGGAGAACAACTTCACCCTCCTCAACAGCTTCTGGTTCGGAGTCGGCTCCTTAATGCAACAAGGTATGACAGCGAACACGACATCCTCCCCTGTCAGAAACAGTGTAATCATCTCATCCCCTTCTCCTCTTCATCACATGCGCCTACTTCCTGCCTTTTTAACTGACAAGCTCCGTGACTCCCGTCCCGTGACTGTTTCATGGGATGTTTACCTGTCAAGAACAACAGCAAAGCTCTGACTCTTGTGACAAATGATGTCTGTTGTCACCTACCTACTGTTTAAAAATAAATAAAAAAAGAGAGAGTCGGTGCCAGGGGTTTGTCAGATTGGCGGGGAAAAATGGAAAACACTGTTGCATTTATTTCCGGGTAACACAGTGGCTGGCCCTGCTCAGGAGCTTCCTGAGTGCTGAGACAAAAAGGGTAAGATGAGAATCATGTCTGACAAATGCCAGCTGTCAGACATGCTGGATTGAGCTGGTGTGATGTTTTCGGCGCAGCACGACTGGCTCTGGGAGTGACCCATTGTAGAGAAATCTAGTGGCATCAGAGGATGCTGCAAAATCATCCCTTTACAAACAAGCGTCTTTTATTTCCATCAGGACTTTGTGATTTAAAGCAACACATACGTTCCTCACGCTTCCCTCCTACTGGTTGAAAGTGGAATTACAACCGTCGTAAACAACCCTGCTGCAGCTTGCTGTTGCTAGCGCTAACAATGAGCTAATTCTAGCAGGAGTCAGGGGGGGGGGCGTTAGGCCCAGCTATTTGGGCTGAAGCCCCGGATGTTTTATGAAAAGCCCCGGATCTAAATCGCGGAAGTAACATGCAGTACCAAAGTCCAACAGAGAGGGAGCAGCTGAGAGTAGTTTGTATACAGCCTGCCTGAGCCTCCACCACTGAAGAAGAAGTCCTTCAGCAGCCGGCTTCTTCTACAGTCTCTGCCTGAAACGCATGAGTGAAGATGGACATAAGGATGTTTTTTAGACCAAAAGTACCGCAACAGAACCCCAGCTTTGATGAGACTGGTGTTGACTCAGGTTTGTGAGTCTTATTTGAAAATATTTGTTGTGCTGCTGGTTTGTCTAAAGTTAGCTTATCAGGAAAGTTGCTGGAGAAAGAAAGGGAATATTTACTATCATCTCACACTAAACACTAACAGGAACAATACTCTGCCCTGAATATGCTTAGTGCGTGTCACGCGTATGTATGTATGTGTGTGTGTGTGTGTGTGTGTGTGTGTGTGTTAAGCCCCGGATCTTCTTCAGTCCTAAATCCGCCCCTGGCAGGAGTCTAATTATACTGAAACATGGAGTGAAAACATCTGCACTGGTGGACAAAAAATAATAAAAACAATTAAATAAATACAGGTAAAACAAAATAAATTTGCATTTTGTCAGTTTATTTCAGTAATTCAACTTGGACTGAGAACATTTAAATCTTATTTCTGATTATAATCAGTCCCAATCAGTCTTTTATCCAGGCTGTACATGAAAATAGTCTCCTACACCTGTCTCCTGCATTAGCTTGTGATAGAAAATAGACTGTGAAACTCTAGGATTAGAAAATCCTGACAGATCTATGTCACACTGTCACTTCACTTTCATGGACTCACCCATCTTCACTCACAACGGGGACAGCTGTTGTTGGTTTAGCATCCAGAAAACAGCAGAGAGCAGCTCGGCTAGCAGAAGTTAACCGTTAGCATTAACAACTCCACCTCACAGCAGAAGACCTTCAGGCTCCTGTTATTTGTGGAGATCAATCATCAGCATTGCAAAGCAAATGGAGTCAGTGGTAGGGTCACATTGCTGTTAGCCAATCCGAGGCGAGATGTCCAAATATCAGGAAATAGGGTTTCAAGTCATGTAAAGCTCAGCTGTGATCTGGCTCACTTCTAGTTCCCGACAATGGTGCACCAGCGCTTTGTTACCCCAGAGTACAACTTATAACACATACATTTCTACTGGAGACAACTGTGTATGAATTGATTAAACAAACAATCTACACCTCAGGAATCCTTTGCATTAAGTCCCTTTGGATTAATTACTTGATTACAGTACGACCTTTTGAGCCTGGAGAATTGAACATCTTCACAACATTCAGATTGAGATTTTGAATCATATATTAATTTCACCTTTTAAGTTGAAAATTTTCATATTATTATTATTGTTGTTATCACTTAAAGTTCAGTTGCAACAAAGTCAGGTCATCATCAGTCCATGATTTTGTAGCCTCCTTTTGCTTACCCAAACTGTGTAAGCTAAACTGATGTTCACTCTGGTTTTAGCTCATTGCTTTGCCTTCGAAGACATTATTCTCCTACTTTTTACGTCCAGGCTCCTCGCCAACAAAAAGCAAAATTCTTCCTATCGACGATCGGCAAACTGAAACTGCTAACTGCTAGCCTGTATGTTAGCTTCCGGCAGAGTAAACAGCTATTGTTGTAAAGCAGACGTAGACCTCCCACTAATGATCCTGCCCAAATCACAAAACTGTTATGTGCGGTTTCTGGTCAGCTGAGAGGTACAGAGTGCTGTCCAATGTGAAGCTGCTCAAGAATAGCTAAAACCAGTTTGAAACTCTTCACTGTTGCTTTAAAATTTAGTAACACGCGTTAGGTTTTTTCACAGAAAGAGGTGCCTGTTCTGGCAAATATAAAACAAAAAGTAGGATTTTCTTTCTACAAGATGCCCCTAAGAGGAAGGAGAAAGCAAATGAAGGTCCAGGATTTACATAATAAAGTTAACGGTGGTGAAAAGGACCCCAGTAACAAAATGTTTAACCCGAGTGTAACAAGACAAATCAAGGAGGTTTAGTGAGACTTGGTGGATCTTTGGCCGTAAGGTTTGCAAACACATTCAGCAATTCATCAAGCACAGAAACTCGGCAGCACTCTTGTGAAACTGCACAGCAGCTCTGCCAATTTGCCGGTGCCGGCAGAGAAATATGAGAGGAGCAGCAGTACAGCCGGGAGGAGAGGAGAGGGAGAGAATCAAATCAAAATGAGCTAGTTAGTAGCCTATAATATTAAACTAAACAGGGGAGAATTTTCCATTATGATTCAGAATGTGGCACACAGCTTTTTGTGTAAATGCCTGAGCTCCACTGTTTCTCTCATTTACAGTCATTGACTGAAGCTGCTGCTAATCAACTCTTATTCATAGTTCCCTGACAACAGATTTTTTTCCTTCCTCAAATTTGAATATCAAAGCTGAGAAGAAGCTTCATGGATGTTGTGCATCATATCTGTTCATGTGTTTTCAACCATTTCTCTAGGATTTTTTCTTGAAGGTGAACTGAAACTGAGTCAGGTAAACAAGTGTAGAATAAATCCATAATTAAAACGTGATGTTTTGAAGTTTAAAAAAATGAGTCTGGCTTCGAGTGACACCCGCTTGTGCTACAGTGCCTTGTAACACATGCTGCACAGCGGTATCTGCAGCGAGGTGTATATTCTGCCTGTGCCACATTAACAGACATCCCTTGCTTGTCTGCCAAACACGGTGACAGCAGCTGAGGCGGAAACTATTTCCTTGACATGTTTAAAATGCAAATGGATGCGTTTGAGGAACCCAAAATAAAAAAATATATAATCTAGCAGCTTGTCTGTGGGAGGGAGGTGTCAGAGACAACAAAAAGAACATAAAATATGAGGAGGTGCAAAAGCACTTTGTTTACTTCAAACAGATTCCTGGCTTTTCAGTTGACTCTTTTCTCACAACAAATACGTGAGTGATCTGTTTCTAAGCGGTCCTCATGTGAAATATTTCAATGCATTTCACATCTGAATTGGTCCAAATTCATACACCGCCACCTTCAACAAAATGCATTTAGCACAATTAGAACACCATAGCTATCTGCTTTAAAAGCAATAGTTATATATGTAGAAATGTTACGATCAGGTGATCGCTTACCTGCTACAGGTAGCTTTCTGAATATCCTCAACCAGATTCAAATGAAGACGAGTTCCAAACAAACCATCAAGCTGATAATAGTATATGTAATATGTAGTTTGTGTAAATGCTTTTTGATAACTATCACAATACTAGATGTCACATTTTGTTTAAAGGTGTGGTTCACTGAAAAACAATATTTGATGATTATTTCTGATTATAATACGCCACTTTGAGTTTTTCATGCAGGCTGAACATGAAAATGGTGTCCTACACCTATCTCCTGCTAGAAAATGGTGGAAATCTAGGACAGGGGTAGGCAACCCTGGTCCTAGAGACCTACAGTGCTGCTTGCTTTCCAACTATCTTTGTGGTTCCTGCTGTTGATTACCTGGATCAGGTGTGTTCAGCCAATTAGAAGCTGCAAGTTCATGCATGGCTGGAAAACATGCAGGACTGCAACTCTCTAGGACCAGGGTTGCCTATCCCTGATCTAGAATTTGAAAAGCCTGACAATTCTACATCACACTGTCGCTCATCATGCATGGACTCGCCCACCTTGACTCACAACAGGTAAGGCTGTTTTAGCATCCAGGAAACAGCAGAGAACGTTTCGGCTAGTAGAAGCTAACCGCTAGCACTAGTAACTTCCCCACACAGCTAGTGTTTTCAGGCTTGTGTTAATTTTTGGAGATAAAAATCCATCTTGCACAGGAAACGGAGTCGGAGGTCACACTGCCGTTATCCAGTCGGAGTCAAACGTCCAAATATTAGGAAATAAGATTCCAAATCCTGCTGTCTGATGCCACTGTCTGCTGCAGCAGACTTGTCCGTGCTGATCAAGGCGCTTCTGTCTCTGCCCCCCTGAGAAATTATTTAACAAGTGCTCAACACCTTTAAAGCAGAGGTTCACTGAAAAATGTTACAGAGCGAGTGGAGGCAGCAGAAGAGTTGCATTGCTGTTAGAGTAAGTGACATTTTTGCATATCATGAATATTAATGAGTAAAACTCCAAATCCTCCAAATCTCTTCTATTGGCGCCATGCTTGTTTTGGTTGTACCCTACAAACCCAGGACTATTTTTGGTCTGAGTTCTCTACTGTGCCCCCTCGTGGAAGACTCCAGTACTGCATGCTGTGCAGCAACAAGTATGTGAACAAAGATGCTGTGTGCATCAACAAGCAGGTATATTTCCGGCCTTAGAAGTGCAACACAAATAACAGCATGCTGACACACACTACCACAGGTTTGCAGGAAGAATGAGGAAAAAACACTTAAGAAGCTGAAATGTGTGGCATCATTAATGCCACAACATTTTTAGGTGTAGAAATGCTCACAATTAAAAACTCCACTTTTCTTGAAAAGCAGTGAAGGTCTGGAGAGCAGGAATACATTGAACACAAAACTCTTACTGGGATAGTTGTCTGTAATTAGCTTTAATACCATTTAAGTTTACTTAAAAAAAGATTTCCCATTAAGTGTTTATTTCAGATTTTCATATAATTTCAATATATTAACTTATTAATATTAATATGAATTAACTTTTCACATCCATTTGAACACTTTTTTGAATTCTCTGTTTCTATTTTTGTTGTTATTAATTTTTAACTTTGGTCATCAATAATAAATCCCACAGTGAATTTTCTTTCAGGTGATTCATGCAGTAGAGCAGTGAGAAAACTACAAATATGAGCATTATGCACCCGAGCCCCGTCCTTTGTTTACGGAATGCTTTACTGACACCATTTTATTTCCCCCGACCCATATGACTGATCTGCGTTCTGTATTTATCCAAGTGTTCTGATGCAGTGCCGTATACTGCTCCCCGCTGACAACAGTGCTTTATTGTGTGGAATTCAATTGAGTTACCCATGGCTTCACTTCATTTTTATTGTGACCAGGGAATGAATCTGGATCCTGCCTCTCTGAAGTCATAGTGAATTAAGGGATGCTTCGGTCTTCTCTTGTTTGCGACCACGTACAGTCTTTGTCAAACCACAAAGGACAAATCCAATCAAATTTGGTGGAAGAGGTTAAAGAGCTGACCACTCTGCCCCCCTTCTGTGGGCTTGTTACTCTTCAGAATTGGCCTCATAAATCTTCTCAGTAAAGTAACCGAGTGCACAAAGCACAAGGGTATTTTAAAGGTTGTCAGAGATGAGATATAAAGTAACTCTTACACCAGTCAGAGAGCCATTGTAAACACCGTATTACTCAACAGAGGCCCAGTCAAAGTCAAGGCTGATGCAGAGGTGTTCTGTCAGTGTGGGAATGCATCTTGATCTTTTTTTTTTTTCTCCATTCATTATTCAGGCTGTAAATTTTTTATGTTTACATCTAGGACTAGAAGAAGAGCGTGTTTCATTGCCTCTGTGTTTATGGAGACCACAAATGCTGATAATCCTTTCAGAATCCCAAACTGTGGTGCATCATTCTCAAAAGGAATCTGGTTGAGATAATATTTGAATGCAAAGTACTTCATGTTGCAGGAATAATGCAACAAAAGTTAATGTGAAAACAAATGTTGAAATTAACTATTTGAAACCTATGACTTAAATAAAAAAGCTTTTTCAAAGCCAGCTAGATTTTAGCAGCCCAAAAAAATTAGAAAACTTTTCACTCAAACCATTTTTAACAGATTTTGGAAAGATTTTAAAAGGTCTTTCACTCATATTTGTGGGCTCTAGTAGGAATGAATGCCTTGTAAGCCGTACTGTAGGGAAAGAAAGCTCCGGTGCGCCTGTTTGAAGACATAAAAGTGAATTTTGAATCCTGTTTCCTGATATTTGGACCTCTCGCCTCAGATTGGCTAACAGCAACAAGACTCTACCACTGACTATCTTTGCTTTGCAACGTTGATGTTTTATCTTCACAAATAACAAGCCTGAAGGAGTTCTCCCATGTGGTGAAGTTGCTAATGCTAATGGTTAGCTTTTACTAGTCGAGACGTTCTCTTGTGTTTCCTGGACGTTAAACAAACAAACAACATCTTTCCCCGTCACGGTTCAAGAACGTTAAGTGACAGTGTGACGTAGATCTGTCAGGTCATTCACCTACTCATTTATGCCTATACAAGTTAGGATCACCAATCAATCAGGAGAAAACCCATGTGCATGTGAGATAACATGCAAACACAACGCAGAAAGGTCGTATTCAGTTTTTGAACCTGCAACCTTTTTTGCTGCAGGCAACAGTGTTACAAACCCTCGCCATGCAGCCCCGGGCCTAAACTGCTTGCAGACTGATTAAGAAAAGTAAATAGTGAGTTAAATTAAGAGTATCTAACAGTGAATTAACCATTCCTTACAGGCTCAGAACTGATGCCCAAAGCTCTGTCGACCAGGATCATCGGTGGAATCTGGTGGTTCTTCACGCTCATCATCATTTCTTCATACACCGCAAATTTAGCTGCTTTTCTCACGGTGGAGCGAATGGACTCGCCGGTGGACTCAGCTGATGACATCGCCAAGCAGACCAAGATCGAGTACGGTGTGGTCAAAGATGGAGCGACCATGGCTTTCTTTAAGGTAAACCACATAAAAAAAAGAAGTGCACACATCAGATGTTAAAGTAGGTAAGGGTTTTATCTTTCAACATAATTTAACCATTTCTTTTTGTTCATAAGTTTCTTTTTTTTGCTTTTAGATTCTTGGTTTTTATTTCTGCATCTTTGAACTGAGCTTTACTGTAGAGGTTTCTGCTTTTGTGTGCTGCTTGACAGTAGCAGAGTGAGTTGTTTTTTTTTTCATTGTAAGAAAATGAAAACATAGCACATTACTATTTCAGAGACTTAAGTTTATGAAATTCAATAGCAAAAGGGGGGAAAAACCTCCAGGGCATTTGTCTGCTCTAGTTTTCATTCTCCTATATTTTGTAGTTGAACCTAGTGAACGATTTATACTTGAATGTTGTATATTGTATTCATTATTAAAACTTTCTTTTCTTTTTTGTGAAAGTTTTTTTAGGCCATGTACATAAAATAAAATGAAGTTTTGTAACTGTAATGCAAGAACACGTTTTCCAGAAAATGTATAACTTTTTGAAAAAGACACATAGAAAGGCTTACATATAACTTTTAGTCCGAAATTAGGCAAAAACAACAATAAAATACAAGTTAGAAGTTTTCTTTGTGATTATTTATGTTAATTTATCAGTTGTGAGTCAGTAAATGTTTCATATGTTAATGTGCAGTAGGAAAACCTGGATTAGTTCATTAATCTAAAAGAATTGTGAAGGGATGGGAACAATTATCTGTTTTTCTAATGACTTATCTGACATGATGATTATATGATCTTTGCTGTGACCCGGCTCATTGGGCCATATCAAAAATCAGTGTAAAAATGTACAGATAATTTATTCATCTAAGATTACGACAAATTAAACTGTAAAAACAAAGGCTAAAAAAGGTGGTGCAAAATGAACGAATGTGGCAGCATTCTAGAGGGGAGAGTAGAGAGACTACTTAGTAAGGACTCACTCCAGGTCCTTGGATGTTCTACATTACCCCAATCAGTCAGGCATTAGGCAGACTTCTCTCATTAGCCACAAAATGACCCATAGGATTGATTCGTAACACCAATCTTTTTAAGAAGGTGTCTCAACAAGATCACTGCTGGACCCCAGCCGTTATATTGGTTTTTGAATTTTAAATGGCTCATTTTATTAAAAATACTCTTAAAATGCACACTGAATACCATTATGAAGTTTATGCTCCAGTAAATGAGGTGGGTTGTCACATATATGGGGGCTTGTCCATGATCTGTTATTTGTTATTTTAAGGTACCTGTTTGTTTTTTGTAAATGTCTTGTTGGAGATATAGTAAAAGGATTATAACGACCTAATTATGCTTCAATAATAGGATCAGACTAGTCATTAAAACAAAAACACTCCTATGGTGAGATTTGTGGCATGATTTCTAAAATTTTCTCAAAATTATGGATCATAAATACAAACTATGTGTCAGAATAAAACAAAACAAGCAACTTTCAAGTGGCTTTTTATTTATTTATGAAAATTAAGCCCCACCTTGTTTTCCCGGGCGTTTTTTAAATACACCTCAGAAATATTTTTAAATATTGACTTGTTGATTTATTTTTCTAGATTTAGTTTTTTCACATTTTTTATTATGACTTTAACAAAGGGTTAGACAGAAGAATATTTGTTAACAAGTAAATGTTTTCTGAATACTTATATGAAACATAAAAACAGGTAGTTTAGATGATGCTCTGCTCTTTAAGAACTTGTAGTTGTAATCATATTTTCAGCGAATAAGAGACACAGGTGTCTAATTACCCATGGCACAAGTGCCCTCTGCCAGCTCCTGCCCTTGCAGAAAAGCTTAATGACGTTAATTCACTGAGGCAGAGAAGCATGATAAGGAGAGACCAGGAAGGCTTTGCAGATGTGTGCAGATGTGGTTTTGGTCCTTCATGTGGAATGCTAAACTATTTTTAATTTTTAGAAAATTTTTGAAGTTTAAAGCTAAGTTTGACAAACTGTCCCTAATTGAGACAACTGAAAGAAAATTAACTCACTTGAACTGAAAATTCAAGAGGAGGTTCTGATGAAAAATAAGTCATTCATGTTAACCCTGAAAACAGCTCCAAAGGCTGGAGACCTTAAGGGACGGGAACAATAACACTTCAAAGGTTTCTAAACATAGAAGAAAACTGCCAAAATACAAAGAGAGAAAAGATACGTGCTTCGGACAACAAATTATTATTGATTACGGGGATCATGTTGGTTTATGATTTTATTGAAGATGTGCTCACATGCATAAGAAATAAACACACCTGGAATGAAAGTCAGCTCTAACTTGGGTGTTACTGAGAAAAAACAACAATGCTTTTGTGGTTTTTGTCACCAGTCACAACTAGCAGAAAACAAAATAGGCAATTAATCAATCAAAGTAATTTTAAAACCCTAAATACAAATAAAATTACTCTGTTTTAAAAATCAGTTTGTGAAAATGTCAAATAACTAAATAGAAATAAATAGATGTTCTTAATAACGCACTTACTCTTTGTTTTTGAATTAAGATTATTGCTTTCCACAAATGACAAATGTAAAATTCTATTTCTTTACTTAAAATATTCTAGTGCACAAAAATAAGATACCACTTTGAGTGTTTGCATAGAAAAGTGTCCTCCATCTCCTAATGGTAATTAAAAATGTAATTTAAAACATTTAAATGAAGTCATAAACGGGACATTTGAAATAAAAAATTGTCAAAATTATTCACTCAAGATAAAGACAATAACCCTAAAATTATAAAAGCAACAGAAATGCCAATTTTGATACAGAAATCCAAAGATTTTCCCAGAAGGGTGGTTTTTGGATTAATAATGAGATTTAAGGGAGCAATATGCCAGAATGTTACAGTGAAATAATATTAAAAACAGTCTAGTTTCAATCATGTTGGATTATGTCTTCCTCAGCCGGCTGGAGTTTTTCCAGTTTTTCTCCTTTAAAAAACAAAACAAAACAAATAAGGACGTCATCTTTGTTTACAATCTGTGAGCCGCTGGGTTTTGGAGTCTGCGCCAGCTGATACTGCAGTGTTTTGTAACAATCTTAAACCAGTAAAAGGAGTGACCCAGAAGTTATTTCTAGCACCCCTAAGAAGCCACGACTTTCTTTTAGTTTTACTCGAATATCAGGTAAAGAAGGCTAGAGGCAAACGTTGAGCTAACAATGCTAATAAAGTTGTGACGTTCGCGAACGAACAGATTCTTTTGAACGGCTCATAAACATGAACGATGGGGGTCGAGTCGTGGCTGGTGGGGGAGCTGTTCTGTCGTTCTTTTTCTCCTGTGTTTTTCACACAGATGCACACAAATTAACTCCTCCGCGAAACAAAACAGTTGTAGGGGGTAGTGATGTGACGTTCACGAACGAATCAAATCTTTTGAACGGGTTTTCAAAGCGAACGATGAGAGCCAAGTCCCTGTAGAGAGCCGTTCATCTTGTCTTCCAGTAACCAACCTCCCCGGGAGCCGGTAAAGCGCACCCGCTCAAACCCCACCCACCGCTGTGACGGACGTAGGAGGAACACGTTGCTCTTAATACCCCCTGCTTTCTTGGCTTCACTTCATTCAAAGGAGCCAGTCTTTTGAACAGTTCTTTGAGGTAAACGACCGACTAATGAACGACTCCAATGAAAGAGCCATGAATCCCATCACTAAATGCTAACAGTGTCATGACTCGAAGTGCCTAAACCAAGACATGCAGAATCATTACTCATTGGGCAGATTGATAAAGTAAAGTTCTTTATTACAAGACGGGAACAGAAACAGCACAGGGAAGTCCTGTGGGAGTGAGCGGTGCGGCTCAAGTCCGTGTAGCGTTCAGAATGAACGAGAGAGGAGGGGAAGCCGAGGAGAGCGCTGGGCAGAGGGTGAGCGCTCCAGGAGGGGTGAGGTAGCAGAGGGAAACCAAACAGGAACAACGGAGGAGGATGGGACGTGGTGTGTGAAATCCAGAGTACGTAGACAGCGAAGGTGGAGCAGGTGGTGTGAGGATCCTGAGGGAAAGGGAAACAAACCCCAGACGTAAGGGTAATCCAAAACGTAGTCCAAAAAACACAGTCCGAGGTCATTAATCCAATAGTCAAAGAGTGAGTCAAAACATGAACGAGCAAGAGCAAAACAAGTGGCCGGGGCTACCTAAACTGGTGCAATCATCCGGCACAGTGAGGTGTCTCCATCCTCCTTTTGAACTCGCATCCCTGATTTGGGAATCTCCTGCAGCTGCCGCTCCCTCTGCTCCTCACCTGTGGAGAATTAACTCAAAGCTGATGAGAGGAGATGGTGTGACTCACCTCTGCCCAGGTACATGACAAACAGTGAATGTGAAATAGCCGGCTCTAAAAAGATGTCAAGCTACTCCTTCAGTTATAAACAACTCAACGTCACAGTGAAATATTTTTGTCTGTTCATCAACTTACTGTGTATGACTTGTTTTCACTCCTCTCGAATCTTCTGGTGCTGATTTGTAGCTGGCAACAGTCATGAAAGTCACGGACCGCTAGTGAGAAAGTCACTGTGTGTTTGTTTACAGAATGCACCTTTAATGAGGAACAAATGAACATTAATATGTTTATATTGGTCTGATGCCGATCTGTGTCACGATCAAGTTGAGATTAACATTTTTACTGCTGTGGTCATTGTTGTCCACATATGTCTGTTTAGTCCTTTGGTAAATGGGATTTAAAGCCCAGAAAACCACCTTTTACTGTCAAGTTACCATAAATAAATTTAAAAAAAGCATTCAATTATTAAATTTTTTATTATTATCATCAAAAATCTGAGTCTACTGGGCTTAAAGGGAGAGGACTTCTTATGAGCGTCTTTCACAATTTGAAACGGCTTATAGTCTTTAGACAGTAATTATCTTGGATTAGACATGGCATAAATGTGACCTCACAGAAAATTGCATGAAATACCACATAGACTGATGCAAGACTAATGAAACGTCATTCTATTATTGTGCTTCAGTAGCACTTGTGAAAATATAGATGTGTGCAAAGCTTCAATTTATTGTCCTTTAATCCCGTGACAATGGCGATCTAAGGGCATTATCATTTAAATCTATTTGGATGCTGCCTAAATTAACCAGGATCTCGAAGTGCAGTAACACTTAGCGTCACCGTAATGTCGGACACTTTTCTTGGATTTAGATCATTTATAAGGCCAAGTGAAATCTGCAGTATTTCTACCTGCAAAGCTGTAGTATTTGAGTTACTTTCTTCAAACGTCTTAGCGGTAAACAAATTGTGACTTTTTGAGCTGGTTTTTGCTCACCTGCAGCGTTGTAGATTAAAATAAAGTTCCAGTGGTCATGTTTTTTTTTAACTCTCTTTCTCCGTTCTTATTAGAAATCAAAGGTCTCCACATTTGAGAAGATGTGGGCTTTTATGAGCAGCAGACCAAGAACATCGCTAGTCAAGTCCATCGAAGACGGGATTCAGAGGGTGTTGAAGTCAGACTATGCACTCATTACGGAGTCCACCACTATTGATTATATCACCAGGAGAAACTGTAATCTGACACAAGTAGGAGGGATTATTGACAGCAAAGGCTACGGCATCGGCACTCCCCTCGGTAAGACTTGTGAATAACCCTGAAATACATCTGAGTACAAGTAATAATGCCTTTTTATATTTTTTTATTTTTGAAAGCTGAGGGTGAAGAATTGCTTTTAGACACTTTTGCAAATAAATAAAGAAAGCATGTAGCAGCTAGTCAGACAGTGTGCAACAACGTGTTTATGGACCTTAGTATCACAGAGTCCAGCTGGCGTTTCAGCCAAAGTGAAATGGGCCTTATGTTTGTTGCAGGCTCACCGTACAGAGACAAAATCAGCATTGCAATCCTGAGCATCTTGGAGGATGGGCTCCTGCATATTTTGAAAGAGAAGTGGTGGAGTGGGAGCAGCTGCTTGGATGAAGAGCATCGCGAGACAGGCCCCATGGGTATCCAGAACCTGGGTGGTATATTTATTGTCTTGGCATCGGGCCTGGTGGTGTCCGTGTTTGTGGCAATCGCTGAATTCGTCTACAAGCTGAGGAAGACTGCGGAACGTGAGCAGGTATATGTCCCCAAAGACCTTTAGTGATTTGGGTAATTAACATGATATTTTTCCTAATGCGCCATCTTTTTTATTATTTTTTTCATTTCCGTTTTAAATATGTTTTCATACGGTTTTCTTACAAAATTTTTTCTAAAAAGCTTTAAAACTCTATAACATGTTATGAAGATATTTTCTTGCTTTTTTCTGGCTAATCCGTGGGAGTACTTGGCAATAACACAAACACATTTGCTCCTTTTTAGCTGGCATGATTGCAAATCAAAGCATAGGGAATAAATCCATTAACACTCATTTGAGATTCCAGGATAGTATCAACCCTTTTTGTGGTAAATCTCACATTTTGAGTCACTATGTATGTATAATACACATTTCCTGATAAAGCGGTATTTATTAGTTATGTGTATGCTATGTAGTACTCCAGTGTACCTTTGTTAAAGGGGCCATATGACTTATTTCTTAAATTATAACTGTTCTGCAGTTGATAAAAACATGTTCATGACGTTCTTTGAACAAAATCCCTCTCAGCGGTTTTATGTTTGACATTTCCAGTACCTTCCAGAATGAGCCATTTCAGGGCCCTGACACTTTAAAGAGCAAGTCACCCCAAATAAACTTTTTTTTGCTGATAAACTAAATAAACGAGTGTCTAATCGTGCTGCAGACACGTGTCGTCAATAATTTGGCACTTCAGTGCATCTTAGTTAAAATTTAAATATTCTTCCTCAAACTGGCAGTGTTGTGCCGTTGTCAGGTAAAAACTCTGCACTGTATTTTAATTTAAATCTGCCACCGCTATTGGCTAAGAAGTATGCTATGATGTAAACTGTTACATTATGATGTCACAATGCTGTCGTGAGCCTGAGTGTGTGTGTATTTGTTAGCAGCTCCGTCCTCTCGGTCTGCCAGGCAACAGCATGTGTTGCATTTTTCAAACATGAAGTGGGAGTGGAGTTAGACTCTGGTAGGGGTTGACTTGCTCTTTAAGAAAACAAGCTGGAGCTGGCCACGCCCACCCATCCCCCACTCAGGCTGCTGTAAGCTGAGAAGCTCTGATATCGAAGAGCTTGGAGTTGAGCAGCTGCTCCTCTAGCAACAGTGAAAGGTGGTTCTATACTAATTTCCCTGTTTGTGACATCACAAATGGGGACTTTTTCAAACTGCTTGTTTTAGGCTCATAATTCATAAAACAAAACACTGACAGAAGAGAGATGGATGGGTTTTTCATGTTTGGGGTTTTTATAGAGGCAGTAGAAATCCACAAGGCAGCACCAAAGGAAACAATATGTGAGTTTAGAATAATATGCCCCCTTTACTGCAGTATAGATGTTCTAAGTCTCTGTTGTGCTCTTATACTGTCAACGCTCTCTCCTGCCAGAACAATTTAAAGCTAAGGCATTTACCCCCCGTCCCTTTCCCCGCTTTTCCTCTCCCCCCGCCCCGGATCCTCCCTTTTTGCCCAGAGGTCTTTGTGCAGCGCCATGGTGGACGAGATCAGACTGTCGTTCACCTGCGAGAGACGGGTGAAGCACAAGCCTCAGCCTCCGGTCATGGTGAAGACGGATGCGGTGATCAACATGCACGCCTACAACGACCGACGACTCCCGGGAAAGGACAACATGAGCTGCAGCACTGGGATGACCCCTGTCTTCCCATGACAATGTGTTCCCCACAGGGCAAGAACCTCGTGAGCAACGTGTCGGGGGCGGTGCCAGAACCTAGAGACAATGGCTTAGATGGGCTCAGCAGATACACCATCAACCACAGTGACATAGGAACACTAACAAAACACGGCCAACTCAAAATGGCAGCGTCGGCCACACAGGTATGACAACTCACTCTGTAATCAAACTAAATCAATATTTGGAAAGAATCTGAGGGGGGGAAATACCTTCTAAATAGATACAATACACCCGAATCTGTCTGAAGTCTGATGTTTACGAATATGATGCAAACAAAAACACAATTCTCATAAGGACAAAAGTCAATCATTTCAGAGATAGAAAATCTGATATGAAAATACGGCCTAATTAAAATCAAAAAGGCTTTTTTTGGAAAACGGCAATAAGTGACTTTGATACAATTAAAGGAAGATAAGGCAGTTTTCATCAAAAATCTATTTTCTCATTAATTTGTTGTGTCAAGTTCTCATGTTTTTCTTTTTTTTTAACATGTTGATTCACATTTTCCTGAACAGGCTTTGGCAGAAGAAAATAGTGTTACCTCAGATAAATGTGGGATTAGCTGGATGTCTGCCTCACATACTGTTGGAATACTAATTTAGTATGAGCAGCACTGTGACTGGGGGAACGTACGGCAGGATGGGAAACGCTAAATCTACAGTTGTTGTAGCCGTGTCATTGCACAAGGGCAGCCATGATCACTGATGCAAACTGGGTTGTTGAAACATCTACTGTGTATTAAAGAAATCCCAAAATGGACAATTATAAATCATTTGGAGGGTTTTTTACAACATTACATTTCTTTGTATATAATCCAGTTGTAACCAGTTTAAATATCGATTGCCAAAGATCTGAATATTCAACAGAAATAGAATCGGAACAGTGTGGACCAGAACTGTTATTTTGTGTGTGTGTGTGTTCAATGAAAAGTGAAATTTAGTAGTTTAAATGGGAATATAAAGAAATCTGTTCATGCAAGGTGATGTGTGTAAACTGCATTTAGGTGTCATAGCATGTTTTTTTTTCTTTTCTCTGTTATTTATTCCACCTCACCCGGACATCTTTCAGCACCCTAAAGAAGATGATTCTTAGATCTTGTTTAACCATATTTTAGGGGTTTAAATTATTAATGATGATCAAAAAAAGATTTTCAGTTGGCAAATGTGAAATTGATGCATTACAATCCAAGTGGAACATTTTCACTCTGCTCACTTGAAACATCACAGAGACTTTATACTGGGTCCATTACGTAAGTATTTTATACTAAAATAATAACAAAACTGTCGAATGTCTCAGTCACGTTTGAAGGAAGGATGCATTGAAACAGGTTGTCAGATTTACACCTTTTAAAAAGGCCATACTTCCTGGTTCCAGAGCCAATCACGTGTGAGGGCAAAATGTTGTAAAGTCTTCAACGCAAACTGCCGACGTTCGTAATTCATCGCCAGCAAAAAGCAGCAGCGTTGTGGACAGAATGGAAGCCAGTAAATGCGATTCTGATAAACCTAAGAACGGCATCTTTCCTGGATTTATGAATCGCACATTTGTTTTACTCTAATATCAGATAACGATGGCTAGAGGCTAACAATGCTAATGGTGAACTATAAATAAATATCTCATGCTATGTTTTTTAAATATCTACAGATTGATATTACAGTGACATGGATTCATCAACTTGATGTGTCTTCGGTCGTCACATAGATCCTTCCGGCGTTGATCCTTAACTGGGAACAGTCGCTCAGAGCAGACTCGTTTGTTTTAATAGATGGACTGCAGTACCCAAGTTTGACCACAGGATGTCAGTCTTCCTTCATGCACCTTTAGGCTGCACAATTTCAAACTTGGATTATTTAGCATCTTTTTGCAGTTGCTGGTTTAGTTATTTCGGTATGCTCTCTTGTAATGAAGTCAGTTCTACAAAAATCGTTGCATCTAAAAACGCATCTATTCTTCAAAAAATTGTGGATAAAAGAGGCTGTGTTGTAGAATAGTCACATTCAATATAAATGCTTTTTGTTAAGTTTTAAAAAGAAAAATCATGAAATCATAAACTTTTTGACATATGCCATCCTTTGTGAAAAATCTGAAATCCGCTAAAGATGCTAAAAAGTCTCACTGGGCTGCAACTTGCTGACCAACTGAAGGAACAAAATTGAAAGAAATTGTCATTTCCCCTTGGAAATGCACCAATTTGGTTCTTTAAACACTTAGGTGAAGTTTGCATAATTGTGCTAATATAACACCAAGCTGTTTATATCGCACCACATTTGTGTAAATTTTGTGCTAATTGTCGCAGTTTAGTGAGGATTAAATCTCTTTTTTTAAATGTAATTTTTTTTATTTTATTTTTTTTTTTTACAAATGAATAGCCAACCTGTCACATACGTTACTCGCCTATTTCCCATTTTCCACTCATGGAAACTTGATTGCACGAGTTTCAGAGATGAACTCCTGACATCAGCAGCAACTCCTAATGAGGAAAAACTCTTGCATCGATTTTTCAAACATGTCCAAATTTATGGTGCTTATTAGCGCCCAGTGGGATACTGGTTTTAGCTGGTACAACATTAGATCCAACTTGTGTGTCCCGATTAAGTTAAAGTAGCAGAGACAAAGGAAGAGACTGCTGAAAAGAAAAGTGCATTTTTGATAAGAACATTAATGAATTCATTCTCATTGCACTTTGAGCTGGTTTTTGTAACAGGGCTACTGAATGTTCCATGTACTTCTTGTTTCTTGTGTGATCTACAGGCTTTTGGCTTGTAGAAAGGTTGTTCTGCAATACTGAAAACTCTTTGAGGAGGAGAGCTTATCTCTGACTAAAAGTCGGATGACTGTTGTGTTTAATTACCAGATGTGGACTGAGTAAATCCATATTTGTCATGATGGAACATTCTGAAAGACTGTGGGAAACAGAGGAAAAAGACAGTAGATAATCCTGTGCTTGTGTTGATGTGTTGCCTATATTGAGTATATCTTCAGCAAATGTCATCCCGAAGGAAGACTCAAGGAGTCTGTGAGCTGCTGTCACCTAGGAGCTGAGGGAGCAGTAAACCTCTGTGAGGTTTAAAGAGTCAATACGCAGAGATGAGAGAAAAAAAACAAAAAAAAGGCAACTATCAATGATTCAAGGAAACTAATCTGTAAAATTTAGCATCGGTTTGGTAGAAACTTATTGTACAATTGTTTATTGATGATCTTCTGCTAAGTAGAGTATGTAGATAAGATTGGCAGAAGATGTATTTTGCTAAATTTATACATTATGAAACCATTCTGTTCACAAGTCTATGTTCTAGATGCTATTTATTTCATTACAGAGGACACTTTAACCCACTTTCTCACTTTATCCTGACTCCACTGCCCCAGTTTATTTCATAGAAATGCATTATAATATGGTATATTTGATTTCTTTCATCTAGATGAGAAAACGTACATAAACCGTCTTTTTTATGATGGCGACTATATTTCTATGAGGTGAACATAAAGGAGAAAGAATGAGCTTCCCGAAGAGTGCTGGGGTCACGTTCTTAGAGTACGTTTATCTCGTGTCAATGGACCTTTTCATGAAAGCCCAATCACAACTTGGCCTAAAGTATGACTGCTGCTGTTGTGAGGTTATACTATAATTCTGTCACACTGATGTGTACTGTAGCTTTTCGTGCAGGTAATTTAAAGACTCAACGATCGTCGTACGACACTTCTTTAATTACAATTTGTTATCACAATCAAAAGCTGTTCGAATTTACTACAGGGTTTCTACTTTGGCTGATAGAGTCGGTTTGGTTACAGAATATATATATATATATATATATATATATATATATATATATATATATATATATATATGTCCTTTTTTTAAAAATAAATTAATGTGAATACTGTCATTTTACAAATAAAAGATGTATAAAATGTGATAGAAAAGTAACACACAATGTAATCTACATTAACTCAACATTATCAGTGTGTGACATGAGTTCTTATTTCCCAGCCATGATGATATGCCTTTTTACGTACACGTTTGTTTTTTTAGTTGTAAAGCTTCTATCGTTTTGCAGAAAACCTCTCAAACAATATGACAAACATGTTGGTGCCAACCAGGGTTTTCTTTGTGAACATGCAGAATTTCTATGAATATAGTTTTTTGTAAGGCTTTGTTAAAAAAAAACATGAATAAAATCTTTTTAAAAAGGGGAGGGTGGGTTTTTGTTTTCCCTGTAAGTGTATGTGTTAAGAGAACGTGTGAATAAAACGTTGAGGGGGGAAAATCGACAAAGTACTATAGAAAAACTACTGAATTATTTTCTTTTGAACACACTGTGAATAATTTAATTGTACAGTTTGATGTATGGGTCAAATGAAGTTTTAAATAAAAAATACAACCTCATATCAGAACACGTGTCTGAATACTCACTGACTGTTGTGTTTCTCATTCATGTAGACTTGTTGAGGCTGAAAGCATAAAACCTGTTCAGGGCATTTCCCGGGGATGTCCATCTTCATTCTTCTCTCTTATTTGATCTTCTCCACATGAATTAATCAGGGTATCTGCAGGTTTAAGGGAGCCACATTTAAGACTTTTTAAGACCTTTTTTAAGGCCACTTTGACCAAATTTGAGCTATTTTTTTATTACATTTGAGCTATAATTTCCAGCTATTGCCTGAAACCGGTGCTAACTGCGTCGCGAACATGGGATTAGCCATCCAGTTACAAATAAACTTGCACTTCCCCATGGCGCAAACTCCTAGCTTAACCAGCTAATGTGCTCATCTAAAAATAGCCCCCTTTCACAACCGACTGAATGTGTACGGTTCCGCTTACGCCAATATCGTACACAAAAAATGCTGAACACTAACTAGAAAGTCACGAACATTTTGTAGAAATAAAAGAATCTTGTTTATTTGGGTCTTTGGTCATTTAAGACCTTTAGAAACTTGATTTAAGGATTATTTGTAATTTTTAAGGATTTTAAGGGCCCTAAATTTGGAAAAGCAAATTTAAGACTTTTTAAGACTTTTTAAGGACCCGCGGATACCCTGATTAATGCTTTCCATCTTTTCTCTTGTCTAGTTGGTTTAAATCAAGTTGTGACATTAGCAGCTGGTAGTGGCAGCCAAATAAAGCTTCATGAACCAATGAGGCTCTCAAGCCGGTCGTTTTGCCCGACGGTTCACTACTTGATGCTTTATTTCGATCTTCATTCCATTTTTTGATCTGTGAGTGTAAAAAGATTTGCTGTTATGTGTTGTAATTGCTTCTAGGGACAAGCACAATAGCTCAGCGGCCTAGTGGTAAGAGTGTCCACCCTAAGAATGGGAGATTGGGGTTCAAATCCTGGTCGAGTCTATTTGAAACCCTTGGTGTTTCTCTCTGCCAAGGAACCTCGCCTTGATATCTTGGCCCCGCCCTGGTTGCCTAGGAGATACATCATCAGGAGCCGCCAAGACGTGCTCCAATCTCCTTGTTCTACCGAGGCGCATGTTCTCCATTTGTTAGCCATTTAGCTAGCTGAGCAAGGTTACACAGGAGGTGTCTTGTGGCCTAGCCTTGGTCAAAACTGACCCACAATACACCGCAGTATTTTCAAAAAGATGGCGGATCAGAAGCGGGCAGCTACTTTGGGGGCAAATTTCAAGTTTAAATGTAAGTCAACAAATTAAAAATGTTTTTTTTTTTTAGATCCAAGAAGTTATCTACTGTTGGTTAGTTGCTTAGTAGTTGCAGCTTTGGTAGCTAGCGGGTAGTAACTCATATATTTAATTTAACAACTTGTTATATATTTATATTGAAACTAATACGTATAAAATGTAATGTTATCTCCTGTGTCATGTGACCGCCGTGGAAGCCGCGGTCACGTGATGCAAGTCTGTTCCATTTAACCGTTTACTTTGACCAAGGAAGGACAGTGTCCTCACAAGACATCGCCTCGCAACGCCAGGCGCCTTGACATTGAGAAACACCCCCTGATAGACACGTGAACCAAACTAAAACAACCCACAATCCACTGTCATTTTCAGCACCTTTTATTTAGAAAAGTGACACAGCAAAACAAGTTCAGTCCGCCCGACTGGGAGATTGGGGTTCAAATATGGTCGGGTTGGGTCATTCCAAAGACTTAAAAAAATGGGACCCAACGCCTCCTGGCTTGACATTCAGCTTTAGGGGGTTGGATTGGGGGGTTAAACCAGCAAGTAGTTCCCGCTGCAACTCACCGCTCCGCACGGGGATGGGTCAGATGTGAAGAAGAATTTCACCAGTGTGTGATGATCAGTGGCGGCTGGTGAAAAATATTTTTGGTGGGGCTGTGCTATTTTTTTTTTAAAACAAACTTGTGCTTTCTGAGCTTTGTGCACAACTTTACTATTTCCTGAATTAAGCACAGCTCTTTTATTTCCTGTCTTACATTATTGGACAAAGGCATTAATCCACGTGTGTCTGACTATTGGCACACTGCCTTGCGGACCAAGGTTGAAAAATACTGCATTAAATTGCACATAAAATAACATGACCATATATGGTCCACATCCACATTACTGATTGTGAAACTAACATACTGGAGAATTGCATCACAATAATATTAAATAAACAAGTATGTACCTAATCTTTTGCATACTGTTGGTGAAGCTCTGGATGACCCCTGTGATGGAGACAGAGTCAATGTTCCTCTTCTGCAGCTGGTTGAACAGCATGTCCACATGTGGCATGATCTTGTGACACAATGCCAGCAGAAAGCCAAAATCTTCTTCCTCCAGCATTCTCACAAAGCCTCCTGCCTCTCTCTCAGTGACTGGATCAAAGTCATCCGAGTCTCTGATCATCTGGAAAAATCTGAGGAGGTCATCCTTGTGCTCATACACTGTGTTGACATCTCTCTCTTGGACAAAATGTGCCAGTTCTGATCCACTTCTTCATTGTGTTTATCCACTGCAAGCCTAGCCTCGTCTCTAGCTGCATGGCAATGTTAGCTCTGCCTAGCATAGCTAGCTTCACCGTGTTGTCCATGTGCGCCCGGGATAACTCATGTTTCTTCACCTTCTCAGAAAAATGTTTCATGTCCGTGTAACTCCTGACTCAATCCATGCCTCATCTGTCAAAGTTGTTTGGAAAGCAAAATAACACATTAGCGTGATTGCATCCAGCTAGCCAAGCCTTCCCAGAAGCCTCGTGTGTACAGTTTACCTCTCTCCTCCTCCTGCTGGCTTATCTTTACGTCGGGCTGATCTGGTCCAAGCTCTTTGACATTAAGTTTTTCCACCATAGTTCTCCTCTTGAACGGATACTGGAGAAGAGACCGAACTGAATTCAGTGGCTGCTGAGATCCGGTATCCATGCTGCTGCTGGTTGTAGGCGCACTGGCGTCCATGTTTATTACGTCTGCGTCACGACCGTCACGAGTCACGACCAAAAACGTGCTGGAGTCGAGAATCTCTGAGTTCTACCGAGCACTAACGAAAGCCTTTGGCGGTAGCTCTATCGCCCATCATGCTTCTGAAACAACGTTGATGCTGATTGGATACATTCCCATTCCTACCCTTTGATTTTCTTGTCAGCAATTGGACGACTGGTCTCGTCCCGTTTGGGCGATTGAAACACAGCCCACAGCCTCCACCGCTCGGCAGAGACCGGCAGAGACCAATATATATATATATATATGATTTATTTTTGTTACAAAACACACAATTAACTTAGAATATGTGATTATTGTTAATTTTATTTATTTATTTTTTTAAATAAAAATTAAAAACACTGGGGAAACTGGGAGGGCGGCGTCCTATCACCCTCTACTGGCCAGCCGCCACTGGTGATGATGACTTTAAACAAATCCATCATGTGACCCAAGAAAAACAAGGCCTCGCTTGTCACCAATGATGTTCTTTTTTTTTTTTTGTGAAAAGATGCAAGCTTGTAGATGCCCGTTTTTAGACTCAGTACAGGCCTTGATATATCCCATTACTAGCAGCTGGTTATTGCGCAATATTTCCTATCCAACCCATTTCCTAGTATAGGTATAGTACAGTATATAGGTATAAGATTGCATTGCAGATGTAGACATCTGCTGACGAATAACTGAAGGATGATATTGCTGCTCACAATGGTCTTCATGTCAGTGTTGAATATTTTAATCTTGCTCTAGAAGGATAATCCTTGGGATGGGGAAATTCACCAGGAGATACGATGTCCCAGTCCTCTCAGCTGTTTGTCTCCATTCAAATTCAGCCCTTTCAGAACTTGCACAGATGTACCAATGGGTCTAAAATGCACACATACGTCTCTATTTGCATTGCATTTAGTTCCATCTCCCTTCAACAATTCACAGGATCAAGACATAAAATGGTAAATGGCCTGTATTTGATATAGTGCCTTCTAGAGTCCTGTAACCCCCAAGGTGCTTTACAATACAATCAGTCATTCACTCATTCACACACACATTCACACGCCGGTGGTGATGAGCTGCGATGTAGCCACAACTGCTCTGGGGCTCATTGACAGAGGCGAGGCTGCCGAGCACTGGCGCCACCATTCCCTCCGACCACCACCAGCAGGCAATGGGTGTTAAGTGTCTTGCCCAAGGACACGACAGCAACAAACCGAGTGGACTTAAACCTGCAACCTTCCAATTACGGGGCGAGCGCCTAACTCCTGTGCCACCGTCGCCCACACATAACGTGTTTCAACCTACAGTATTGCATGTTATGATGGTGGTTTTAGTGTGCATTGCTACAGTTTCAATGGACATTCCTGAGACAGAGCAAACATGATTTGCTTGGTGCACATGTGTGATTAGGTGACTGAGGCCTAGTCCACACGTAGCCGGGGTTTTTTAAAAACGAATATCCGCCCCTCCAAAAACTTGCATCCACACCACCGCGTTTTAAAAAAAACTCTGTCCACACGTACCCGGATAAATATGTTGTTAAGGACATGCCAGACCTGTAGGCGGCAGTACTTCCCCCGTTCTTAACCTCGTCCTTCGTCTGTGGTCTTCCGCAAGGAGCAGTAATTCCGCTTGCAAAAACAAACAAGCAGAAAGCGCTTGGACAATTGATGGATCGGGTAGTGACAGAGCGCAGTTCTGAGGGCTTCCATGATGCCGGCTAGTGTAAACACAGGTCGCACATGTGATGTCAGCATTTTTTTGTTGCGGACCTTAAAACTCCGGTTTTGTCTGTCCACACGCAGACACCCAAAACGGAGAAAACGCAGATCTTCACTTTGGACGGAGTTTTTAAAAAGATCCGTTTTCGTGTGAAAAAACTCCGTTTTCGTGTGGATGACAGGCCAAAACGTAGAAAAATATCTACGTTTTGGCAGATCCCCGGCTACGTGTGGACAGGGCCTGAGTGAAACACGTGCCAAGCAGGACTTTTGATAACTTTTTTTCATTTTTTGCAGA